TTTGTGCGCAAAAACTCTGTAAACTGACCCTTTCAAGCGCACTAACTAGGGAAAGATCACAAATCTAAAAAACCAGGTGTAAAAATGGATAAACTCGAAACAACCAGGATAAAATGCCACTTGGCGTGACCTTTTGAACGAGGTTCGTGCTTTAAAGCGTGGTAAAACTACCGTACCCCTCCAATTTGCGCGAAATTTCATTTTCATCTCATTTTGCGTTTTTTTCAACTAAAAAGTCGGGGTAGGCTAATTTCCGCAATTTTTTTTTTGCGCAACTCACCAAACTTTGTGAAATATGCCACCGTACTGGAACCGTATTAGTTCAAAAAAAGAACCGTATTCGAACCGTATTGGAACCGCATTGGAACCGTATTGGAACCGTATTGGAACCGTATTGGAACCGCATTGGAACCGCATTGGAACCGTATTGGAACCATATGCAACTCGACTAAACGAGATTCAATTTTTAGACATCTTTTTGAAATTTTCCTTAATTTCTTATCGTTTAAATGCTTAAAAGAATGGGATAAAATGTCATAAAAAGTCGCTTTTAATTATCAAAAACATTTGATTAATATAAAAAGAAAAAGGAAAAGAGGTTGAGATGTGGGGAATTGAAGGAAGGCAAAAAAAAAACTCTCGTCTACAGAGCACTATCCTCTCAGCCACGCAACCTCATTTCAAAGGATGGCGTGGAGGCGTCAAATAGAGATCAAAAATGCAACCAAAACTTGTAAGTCAGATATCTTGCGTTACAAGTCTTGAGGGGGAAAAACTAAAAGCAGATTCGAAAGCAGCGTGACCGATTCTACAGGGTGGCGCACAATTACTCGCATTACTCGCACTCATTTCAAATTCACATTTTGAACTTTGATCCCTAAACTAAATTCATTATTTTCTAGTAAAAGTGAGCTAGATTTTGGAAATAATAAGTAAAAATGAGCAAATGAAGCTGGTTTTCGTTGATTTTGAGCCATTGAAACTAGTTACAAAAACCAGAAAATCGCGATTCCGCGGTAGGAAATGCGTGTCGCAACTTTGCAGCGCTTTAGCGAAGTTTAGAAACTTTTCTGATCAAATTCAGAAAACACATTACAGGAGAAATATTCAATTTGATAATAAAAAAGAATTAGATCGATTGATTGACTCTTGGCTAAGCTGGAGAATCGTGCTGGAGCTGGAGCTGGAGCTGGAGTGCGGGTAATTGTGTGCCACCTTGTATAAGATCGATTTGATCTCGTTTCAAAAAGTCACGCTAAGTACTTGCCTTTCTCTAGTAAGTCTCGATTTTTCTCGTGCATTACAACTGTTGCAACAAGAAACGATAAGGTTTTTGTGCACCAGAAGGCTTGTGTTTCCAAATTTGGACATAAAAGTACACAACGTGAATCTTTAGAGCTTTACTTTGTCACTTTTTAGCTGATTTCGCCGTTGGTGAGTTTACTAAAACGTGGAAACTTCTTGAAAACTACCGTAACCTTGTCTTTAGTTTAATCAAATCTGTCTACTTTTGTATCTTTCAATAACCTGAGTATTAGACCTACCGTAAATACTGTAATAGTACCCCACCGCCCTCGTACAGTCGCGTAGTCGCAAACGTTTTTTAGTATTTTATTTTTTGCAAAGCACCCGTACTTTCAAAAAATGCGTCTTTGGTATCAAAAAATAGCTGAAATTCAGGGCTATTTTTTGATACCTAAACGCGCATTGTAGCATAAACCAGTGTCGAGAAAAACTCGTTCAAAGCTAGACTACACAACGCTCCGCACCGTCATTATGGGCGGTGGGGTACTATTACAGTATTTACGGTAATAATTAAAGCCAAGATTACGGTAGTTTAGAAAAATGGACACGTTTTAGAAAACGCAAAGAAAATGCTGAAGGAAATTTCGAAATTTGAAGCTATGAAGCTAAATATTTCGAGAAATGAAATTCGAATTGAGAAAAGGAAAACGAAAATCGCTCGAAAATCGGAAAAGCACTTGAAAGAGTTGAGAAAATGGCTTAAAAGATTGATTGACTTTTCGAAATTTCAAACCTCTAAACACAAATGCAAATTTCAAAAGCATAGAGAAGAGTTTAAGCCAAAGCAATTTTTGCATCACGGAGAATCCCCGTGCAGCTTATAAAGTTTCCCCTCATTGATCTTATCAGTCCTTCTCGTCACTTGGCACTCAGCTATTTTTGAGAAAAGCTTTCGAAACACACTTTCCGCTTTTCCACTCTTCTTGTACTGCTACTGGCACAAAGGTTTTCCAGGATTGCATCAAGAATAGATTTCTTTTTTGCAAGATTCGAGATTGAATCCAAAGCTAAAACCTTACTGATATTGATCATCATTTGAAAATCTTTAAACTATGCAATATGCAATACAACCAAGTTAACTATATAAATATAATAATAATATAATGATTTGATCTGTCTTCGCACTTAGCGCAGATCACAACCCGCTTCCACATTTACTGAGGCAGAAGTGTAGTTGTCGTAGCCGATGATACTCCGATGGCCGGGCTGGGGCGCTCGGAGGGGAACCCATGGGAGTCGAACCCACGACTAACCCGCGCCGACGTTGCTCACCAAGTTAACTATAGCCAAGTTAATTCAAATTGTTCTCTCGTTTGATTTATTTTCAAGTGACAAAATGGTTTCACAGGATTTAGAATTTGTACCAAGAATACAGCCAAATTTAGGACAAAAATTTGTCCCAGGAATTTGGAAAAAACGCCGAAAACAGACGGAAATCGGCTCACTCGCTCAGCGTCCCTTTCCTTTAAAGATTCAAAAAGGAAAGCACCTTATACCGGTTAGGCAGAACGTAAGCGATTACACTGCACAAAGTACACCTCGATGCCCTTTTATATAGGGATTTTCTTTTGTTTTCTGTTTTTTAGATTGCCTTAAATGAAGAGATTGAGCTTAAATGAAAAGCCGAGGGTTTACGGGATCGGGAAATCTATTTCGGCTATTCATCTATGGTAAAATTGTTGGCTCTGTTTTGGCAAGATGTTTTTTTCGCGTTACAAACCATATCAACACTGTAACATTGTGATAAAGAATTGAATTTATCTGAAGAAAAAAAAAACGTCTACTTTTCGGAATCTTTGTATTTTATTGCATTTCGAAGATTCCCAAATCGATCAGAAGACGGCAGAATGATCGCCACCAAGAAAAAAGGAGTTTTGTCTGATTTGTGACCTATGAAACGGTCATTGAACAAAAGATAAAGCAAATACTCTATACTAGATAAATTTTGCAATTTCTTTTTCTCCAGTGTACAAGAAATTTCACAATTTCGATTCTAAATATTGGGTTGATGCATAATTATCCGGACTTCTTTTATAAATGATTTTATTTAACAAAAAATAACATAAATAGTTAGAAAAATATGTTTAATTGATTATTCTGGAGCATATTCACCGCCTACATCAATAACTGATTGCCATTTGCTTGGAAGACGATCGATTCCACGAGCGAAGAATAAACGATCTTTGGAGGCAATCCACGCTTTAACATCGTCTATCAAGTCATCCAAATCGTTGTAGATCTTATTTGTTTGCCAATTTTTGAGCGATCGATTGACGTGGTAGTCCGTTGGGGCTTCTCCAGTTCTTTGAGATCGCGAAACGACTCTGCGGCAGACCATCCCTTTTCGAAGTGGTAGAGCATGATATGGCGAAGATGGATATGATTGTCGACACGCATTTTGTTCACTAAAGAATAACGAATATTTAAAAAAAAGAAATAGACAAAAAGCTTTCAAAACAAAAAAGATACAAGCACGCAAAAAGAAGTCCGGATAATTATGCATCAACCCAATATAATATTTCATTATGATGTATTACTGTATTCTCTCTAGCACCCGACCGAGCCGAGTTTGATGACGATTTTACAGTTTCCAACTCTTCGCAGAAGCTCAATACTCAAATCCCCGGCTAGATCTCATCGTCAGCTACATTTTCCGACCCCACATCGATAGGTTCTGATAAGTGATTATCGAGATTTCAAGCAATTTAGGCAACTATTAGAGAGAATACGGTATATGAAATTTTTCATGTCATTTAAATCAAAAAATTTTTAATTTTCGTTAAACTAAAGATTTTTTAATCTGTTTTCAGATCCTCAAAGATTTCTCTTCATTTTGAGACGTAACTTTAGTGAATTAGTTGGATTATCTAGTTAAAGTAATGCATGTACACTCGAGAGTATCTCTGCATGTATCTCTGCAAAGGTGCACAGTTCTAGAAAGGCAGCCTCCAGTTCAAGGACGATGTGATCAGATGGAAGACAGGCCTTTAGCTCCTCGTCAGTCACTCACTCCGTTAGAGGTTGCTCCCCAAGCTTCAAAGCATCGCAAGTTATTGTTAAACTCGGTGACAGCGTAAGATTTGAGAGTGGTGCTGAGTCGTGCAAGAAGTTCTATTCTAGCAAGTCGGCTTCGCGGCTGCAGGTGGAATTCCCTTTCTGTTAGTTTTATGGTGGTTTCAACTTCTCTGTGCATGCTTGATAAAAAGACTCAGCCATGGTCTTACTAAAAAAAACTTGCCGATCGAGTTCTCTAGGTCTCTGATTTCCCGAGACGTTTCAAATCTTTGACTCTAGATTCTTGCTCAGCGGGATATTCTAAAAGAGGACGAGCAAGAGGACACCATTAGATCCAGCTATTTAATGCTTTGTGTGGGTGCCAGTTTTCTGTCGTTTTCCTGCAATCCTAAAGAAATCTTCAAAAAATCAATCGATTAGAGTTTATTGTTTATTCATTAGAAATAGGCATTTTTGTCTCGTTTCTCATTTCTCTAGTCTTCCCGCCCGTCTCGTCTTTCACTTTCATATCCATTGCCCAAAGCAGTACTTCAGCTGAACTGCAAAATGAATGATAGAAAGATTTTAACCCACCAGAACCCCAAAAGAGAAAAACACATCCACCAATGATTTGTAAAAGAGCTGAGACACCAAAAACGATCAACCATTTGTTTGAGATTTCCTGAGAAAAATGACTATTAATGATTCGAAAAAGGAAAATTCACAAAATGATTGAGAAAAGTCAAAAGTAATGGGGCTCCAAGATTTCCCAAATTTCCCATGATTTGACCTAGAATTCTTGATTAAATAATAAGAATAACTCCAAAAAAAAGAAGTAAAGAATTTTGACTTGATCTCTAACTTTTAGCGGTAATAATGCCAGTGTAAGGAGGAGCGATTGTCACTTGTGAGACGACGTAACCCGGGGTTTGACACGAGAAACAAAAACCTGAAAGAATTGTTGTGAATTATGTCTGAGAGGTGACATTCAACATTTAAATGTTGAAATTTTGCCAACGTTTGGCCACGGATCACCGATTTGAGTTTTTAATACCAAATTAATACAAATCTATGCAATCTTTCTCTCTATTTCTCTCTTCAGACGTCGACATTCGTCATCTTCAGCGGACTGTGGATCTACAGATTCCAAAAATCCCTTTGCTTTGTCAAAGATTGTCAAAGAAATTGTGGCAAAGTTTCAAGAGATGGCTGTGGATGTGTTGCTGTGTACGAAGTACACAGCAACACATCCACAGCCTTTCTTTTACGAAGTAACTCCAATAAAATGGAGCCTACTTATTTAGCTAAATTGAAGTTTCTTTGATTCATTTCGATTTTTAGTTGAACGAACAGACTCTCTGGACAGTCTAATAGATAAATAGCCTTAGACTAGAACATAGGAAGTCTACTGGATCTACTGAATCTAAGCAAGCAAGTCTACTTAATCAATCTCAAGGTTGGATAAGAGATTTAGACTTACAGTAGGTACCTACAATACCTGTAAGGACCAGTGTAGTACCTACAATACCTGCAAGGACCAGTGTAGTACCTACAATACCTGTGTAGTACCTACAATACCTGTAAGGACCAGTGTAGTACCTACAATACCTGCAAGGACCAGTGTAGTACCTAAAATACCTAAAATAGCTGAAACGGAAGTCCACTTGACAAGCCTTTTCCTCGATGCATTAAAAATGACGAATTAAATTAAATTGATCGAATCTAATCGACTAGTCGACCCTCGTTGTCCAAATTCTTCACTCACCAGTCATTAAAAGAAAAGGAATTGAGAGGTAGGGTTTCTCAGAAGTAGGAATTGTGGCCAACAACAGCACACCGATCGCTGAACCAAATGAGCCTAAAGACAAGAAATTTCATCACAAATTATCATTAACAAACTGATTGTCTGAAAGATTTTTGATAGCTTTGTTGCATTGATTTCTTTCTCTCTTTTCAAATAATCCGAGAGAATTCCCATCGAGATTTTTGAGGTTAATTCCGCAAAAAACGGGATCATCGTGATAAAACCATTCTACAAAATGATATCCAACTTTACGACGAAAGATTACGATACCTTCTTCATTGATAATAATAAAACTTCTTTGAAATATGTTGGCAGAAAGGATTGATTCAAATTTTGAATAAAATTGGATGTCATCGAGCAAATGTTGCACGCTAAGACAGGTCTTGACCAAGAGATTTCCTTCCATGGCACAGAGTGGTGCTTCTAAAGTTTTTCTAGCATAAAGATCTATTAGGTTGGCTTATAAGTCTTGGTAACACATTGTTCTACTAGATTTTATAAATGACCTTTTGATTTGCTCGAAACAAAAGATGTTTTTCCTTCATTTTTCTATCATTTCAAGCCGATTTTGGTCTGTTTTCAAGTGCAAAAACTCGTTTTTCATAAAATACGATAAAAAAGCTACAAAGGCTGAATAGGGTTATCTTGAAAATTCAGGATAATCTGTTCCGAAAGCGTTGGAACCAGGCGTTGGAACCGTTGGAACCATTCCGAAAGCGTTGGAACCAGGCGTTGGAACCGTTGGAACCATTCCGAAAGCGTTGGAACCGTTGGAACCATTCCGAAAGCGTTGGAACCAGGCGTTGGAACCGTTGGAACCATTCCGAAAGCGTTGGAACCGTTGGAACCATTCCGAAAGCGTTGGAACCGTTGGAACCATTCCGAAAGCGTTGGAACCAGGCGTTGGAACCGTTGGAACCATTCCGAAAGCGTTGGAACCAGGCGTTGGAACCGTTGGAACCATTCCGAAAGCGTTGGAACCAGGCGTTGGAACCGTTGGAACCATTCCGAAAGCGTTGGAACCGTTGGAACCATTCCGAAAGCGTTGGAACCAGGCGTTGGAACCGTTGGAACCATTCCGAAAGCGTTGGAACCGTTGGAACCATTCCGAAAGCGTTGGAACCAGGCGTTGGAACCGTTGGAACAATTCCGAAAGCGTTGGAACCAGGCTCGGTATAGGCTTTCGGACAATACATCATTCCCAAATGCTTCGACCAAATCTCGATGGGATTTCGCGGCTTTTTTGCCCAGTTTGAAGCCGTGAAGTAGGCAGACGCGAACTTGATTTTTGAAGTCGGTCATCTAAAGCATATACCTAACTTTTTTGTGCCCTATCTATTGTTCAGAACATAGGTTTCTGTAGACCAAAACGTCTAAATTATGTCTTCGGATTGTCGCCTTGTTTCATTATCCGCCTTTGCGCCTCCATAAAAAACCATCGACAAAACATTTTCATAAGATCCGAACGTTATTTTGTAGAAAAATAATAGGCTTTTCTAATGGAGCCTTTTGGATGTCAATTGAGAAATTTGTCATTTATAAAACGATTGTAGAACAAAGTGTTACCAAGACTTATGGATCAACCTAATCGTTATCTAGTTATCTAGTATAGATATTTGTTTACCGATATGTTTTTTACTGTCGAAACCTCTTTCAGGAGGTAGTCTTTCTCTCCTCGACTCATCAAACGATTTTCTTGAGGAGAGTCGGTGACAAGAAAATAGGAAATAAAGCACCAGATACAACCATTGATCGCTAAAGATTTGGTTAAAGATTTGGTTAAAGATTTGAAAGAGGATTTTTTTCGTTTCTTTCTACAATACAGGATGGCTACTAACAAGGGAAGGCCAACTGGCCAGTCTAGATAATGAAATCTCGCCAAATGCTGGCCAAATGACATCAGCCATAAACCTATCGACGAAGTATTTCACGCTGAATCCGAATCTGCTTTCCGTTTTTGCAACACAGCACTCTGTCAAACGTTATAAGCGATCAAACTTCTACAGTACTACAGTACTAACTTCTACAGTACTACAGTACGAAGTATCCGCGCGTAGTTCTTTTTTTTTGTTTATTGAGAATGCTATAAGGATTTATCATTTACAAAATAACCCAAAAAAGGCAAATTTTCTGTAATCTCCGAAAATCATTATAATTTTATGAAAAATTGCTTAGTTCTCTAGTTAGGATCCTTTTTTTTTGTCGCCGCATAAACCATTCGACGAAGAATTTCACGCTGAACCCGAATCTGATTTTCATTTATGCAACGCAGCACTTTGTCACAAGTTATACACTTTAAAAGTTTTGCAAAGAATCACAGAAAACAGACTCTGATGTTTATAAGTTGACTTACCAGAGGGGAAAAGATGGTGATCGAGTGGCAGTAGGCTTGAATAAGAGGCAAGGATTCTAGGGTTCAAATTCGGCGTTTGATTTTTGTTTTTTGTCAAGAGTCAAGACCTCAATGTCAAGACAAACAAGGGAAGGTCAACTGGCCAGCCTAGATAATGAAATCTGGCCAAATGCTGGCCAAATGCTGACCAAATGACATCAGCCATAAACCATTCGACGAAGAATTTCACGCTGAACCCGAATCTGATTTTCATTTATGCAACATAGAACTCTGTCAAAAGTTATAAGCGCTCAAAGTTTTGTGTGGAAAATAGATGCTGAGTTGACTTATTGACTGTTGTCGTTGACTTATTAGGGAGGAAAAGGTGTCGTGTTGGCCTTGTATTCTAGCCGACTACCACTCGGCCACCATTGCTTTCCAATCCCTCTTGGAAATCTGCTCGTAAACTCTTGGATGATTCTTAAAATTCCATACAAAACTTTGATCGCTTATAACGTTTGACAGAGTGCTGTGTTGCAAAAACGGAAAGCAGATTCGGATTCAGCGTGAAATACTTCGTCGATAGGTTTATGGCTGATGTCATTTGGCCAGCGTTTGGCCAGATTTCATTATCTAGACTGGCCAGTTGACCTTCCCTTGTTTGTCTTGACATTGAGGTCTTGACTCTTGACTGAGTCTTGACAAAAAAACAAAAGTCAAAGGCCGGACTTGAACCCTAGAATCCTTGCCTCTTATTCAAGCCTACTGCCACTCGACCACCATCTTTTCCCCTCTGGTAAGTCAACTTATAAACGTCAGAGTCAGTTTTCTGCGATGCTATACAAAACTTTTAAAACGTATAACTTGTGACAGAGTGTTGCGTTGCATAAATGAAAATCAGATTCGGGTTCAGCGTGAAATTCAACGTCGAATGGTTTATGCGGCGACAAAAAAAAGGATCCTAACTATAGAACTAAGCAATTTTTCATAAAATTATAATGATTTTCGGAGATTACAGAAAATTTGCCATTTTTGGGTTATTTTGTAAATGATAAATCCTTATAGCATTCTCAATAAACAAAAAAAAAGAACTACGCGCGGATACTTCGTACTGTAGTACTGTAGAAGTTAGTACTGTAGAAGCTCTTTGGCTAGTAGAAACTGAAGAATCTTGATGTCTTGGAATGTCTTGGAATGGAAAATTTTGGAATCATGATGTCATACGAATAAATTACCAAAGAAGTAGAAGATCGATGGCCATTTAAAGATGGAGAGACAAAGAAAAGAGCTGATTAGTGCAGAGCCACCAGCTGCTAGCTAAAACAAAATCACCTCTTGCAAATCATTGTGCTTTTGAGCTTCTCAGTTTCTTTTATAAAATCTGGCTTCACTTTTTCTATTAGTTTTAGTTTGATGATCTTTGATGATCTCTTAGCTACTTGTTTTCTGATAAAGAAGGGAGATTTATTGGCATTATCAAAAGCTTCGCTGCAAAAAAACAAAAGAATTAGCGGCAAGAGGAGTCGAACCTGCGACCTCTATCTTCTGTTCGTTTGAAAGACGCGCGTGTTAACCACTCGGCCATGTTCTGGTGCAGTGTGATCGCACTTGTCTCTAGCCCATACGACCCGGGTTCGACTCCTGCCCGTGCCGGCACTTTTGATTCTTTAAAAATTTGCAAACATTTTGCACAACTACATGAAATTCTAAGCTAAACTAACTATAAAACATTTGAAATGGTCCTCTGAGGGCTGAGGAATAGCAGACAAAACAGACAGACGTCTATATTCGTCTATATTACTCCCTTTATATTCAGTAGATCTTGAACTGAAATTTGCACTTAAATCAGACTGACTCTAAGCTTTTCACGTTTAAATCCCAATACTTGAGTTCCTGACGAAGTGACAGCAACCATTGTCGACTTCTCATTCAACGGATACCATCTTGTCACAAAACTATTGATGCATGGAAGAAGGAAACCCTCAAATCGATGAAATCTTTGAAATCTTTGAAAAAATCGATAACTTACATCACATAAACCCATCAAAAGTCTCAATATGAAGAAACCGTAAAAAGATTGATTGGCAGTGATCGGAGAGAGGAGCGAAACAAAAACAAAAAGAATAGTGGCACCTGAAGTGGTCTTAACCTTAATCCAATCTTAATCCAATCTAAATCTATTCTTAATCTAACCTTAATCAAATCTAAATCTAATCTAAATCAAATCTAAATCTAATCTAAATCTAATCTAAATCTAATCTAAATCAAATCTAAATCTAATCTAAATCTAATCTAAATCTAATCTAAATCTAATCTAAATCTAATCTAAATCTAATCTAAATCTAATCTAAATCTAATCTAAATCTAATCTAAATCTAATCTAAATCTAATCTTAATCTAATCTTAATCCAATCTTAATCCAATCTTAATCTAATCTTAATCCAATCTTAATCTAATCTTAATACTATTCTTGAAATCTTCAAAACCCACCTAGAAACGTGATCTTCGGTCCAAATCGATCTGTTAAATATCCGGCAAAAACAACAGTAAGACATGTAGTGAAGAAACTGGCAGAGAACAAGATCGATTGCATCGATGCATTCCAGTCCAAAGTTCCCTGAGATGATTCGATATTTATATTTGTAAGCAAACAAACTTAGCAAGTTCTTGAAATTTCATGTAATTTCTTGAAATTTCATGTAAAATAGATAAAAACCAGGGGTTTAGAACCCACACTGTATCCCAAATCCGTTTCGATCGTTTCTTGAGAATCGTTTGAAATAGAGACAGAAAGAAACGATTGATTTGAAGATTTAAGGCTCATCGTATTTCTTTTCACCTAGAAATTATTAAAAGATTACTAGGTTCTTTTATAAATTGCAACTAGTCAATTGCAATTAGAGAACTGTAAGCTAAAGAAGAAAACTGATCTCTTGCAAATCCTTGTGCTTTTGAGCTTCCCAGCTCCCCAGTAAAATCTGGCCTCACTTTTTCTATTAGTTTGATGATCTAGAATTTCGAAAGACAATCATTTCGAATTTGTGCAAGAGATTCAGCCAGCGTTCACTGAAGATCTTACAGTCATATTAGACTAAAAAGAACTAAAAGACAAATCCATCAAACTATCAAACCATCAAACATCAAATAACCAGATCCATCATATTCTCTAGCTTCTATAAATCCTTTCAAATGACTAACCATACATGGAATGGCCATATTGAGATTGAGTCTCATCGACCATGTCGCCCACAATCCATAACTCAACAACATTCCAAAGATAAAACGAAAAGTTTTTAGCGAAAACAATGGATATTCACAATTTGACATTTCTTTTTACAATAGCCAAATTCTCATGGAAATATTAGAAATTAAATTGAAATGTTTTCAAATAAAGAAGAAAATTGAGAGCTCAATTCGTCCATCATTTCTCCAATATTTCTTTATAGACTATAACAAACCTTTTCAGACTTTTTGAGATCTCAAACTGGTTACTCTTTTTCCGATCCATGATAACAAAGATGATATCAGTGAAAAAGTTCATATGAAATTGATTTTTAAAGACTTTTTAAACAAAATATAATGCTTGCAGTTAGCTAGATTCATTCTTTGTATTTTGATTTTTATTTTGAATAAGATTTTTCTATTTTTGAGTAGTCAGACATCCCCAATTCATTTTGTTTACCGTAACACTTCTTAATTTAAACTTTTGATACCCACAAATAGATATACTCACAAAAGTTAAGCTTTTCTTTATTGTTTTTTAGGCTTTAAGGAATTGAAGGCTTTAGATGAAGGCTTTAGATGAAAGCCTTAAATGAAGGCTTTAGATGAAGGCTTTAGATGAAGGCTTTAGATGAAGGCTTTAGATGAAGGCTTTAGATGAAGGCTTTAGATGAAGGCTTTAGATGAAGGCTTTAGATGAAGGCTTTAGATGAAAGCCTTAAATGAAGGCTTTAGATGAAAGCCTTAAATGAAGGCTTTCAATCTCCAAACAATTGATTTCCTATTGATTTTCTAGCAAATTTCAAATCACAAAAAGAAACCTTTTTTAGTAGTTTTTTTGAAAATTGATCTTCTCTTTAACATTTTTCAAAGAGTTTTTTAGGTGACCTTCTGACTAGAGTTAAGTTTTAAAACCATTAAAGGTTATGAGATATTTTAGGAAAAGGATGATATCACATCCATTGTTCAAAGTGAAATTCTTTGTGTTTTGCTTTTCTGCTTGTCTATAGTTAGTGGTGCTAAGACTTAAAAGCGAATAACTCCTGTAATACTCTGAAGATTTCTACGATACGGTGTTGCTTCTAAATTGTGAAACCAAAGCTGAGATGCTGAAATATCTGTGCATATTAAAATAGAAAATACTAAACGATACGGTTTATTGAGACGATTCTAATATAAAATAATAGAGATGATTAGGCAGAAGGTCATTCGTTTTGAGCATGATGACAAGATTTGATGGCAAACGGAGATGGTTGCCGTCCAAGGGCCATCAAGATTTAGCTGATATCCATGAATTAGAGTTCTCTCTTCATCAATCCTCCAAAATCATAGCAGCTTCGGTTTGAAAGAAAAAAATCGGTCTCACTTCTTGAGGCATCTTCGAATTGCCTCCAAAACTCCTCTTCCATTAATAGTTCATCAGTGGAAATAGCGTTTCAATCAGTCATTAGTTAAATTACGAAACGCTCTCCTTGCAATGCCGTGAGTGATGCTTTTGGTGATCCCCGAGGCTATATGTCTCGGGAAATGAAAGACGAGTACAGAACATTTCTCTACAATACTTGACTCATTCAGAAAGCCCACAATTATTTGAAGCGTTTGCTGTATGAGCGCTTTGTCTATTTTCCAAATAATTACCTTTAAATATCTTTAAATCTTCTTTTCAAATTCTCTGGTTTTTTTTGGTTTTGTTTAATAGGCTCATGACATACTCACTGACATCATTCGAGTCATCAAATTCGTAATTTTGAAATGAAACCACATTGAGAGCTTTGGGATGAAAGTGTTTTAAAAGAGCTTTCGCTAACTTTATCGGAATGTCGACGATTAATCGATCAAGAGCTCTAATTCTTGAGAGCAATTTGAGTTTCGCAATCTCCTGAAGATTTCCTTCTGTTGGCACCTGTTTAGATCGATGAGAAAGACGAAAACGAATCGCTTTCACTAGATTCATTTCATTGAAGGCTTTCCAGAAGAAATCTAATGGAATCGATATCGAGTCACCGTATGCAGAAATTTTATCAGAGACAATGAAATCAAACGGTCCGTCGGGTGATTCGATTCGATAGTTGATAGGCGACTCTCTTTTATCGTCCTCCGCTAAATATTTCTGCTCCAGAAGGCTCAATTCACATTCAATCTTGTAGAATTTTCTTCGAAATCCAATTTTGCAAAGAATTTCTCGCTTCATTTTAGTCGTTTGCATAACATTTTTAATCATATTTAATGGAATCGATTTTAAGATTTCTTCTTTCAAACAATATGGAAGTATTGAAAAATTGAAAGGCATCATTAGAAATCGTGTCAAATATTTGAGCAATGAATGCGAGGAGTGTTATGGAAAGAAAAGGGTGTTCATGCTGGATGTCTGAATTGAGCGAGTGAAAAGAATGAAGAGTTTAGTGAGAGGAGAGATCACAGAGGAACCACAAATACAAAGCACAACAAAAAACAGCTTTTGTCATGAAATGAGAATTGAAATGTGTCGATTGGTGTAGATATTGTAAATCTTGAATTCTTCTCAAGATCCAAACAGTTTTGAGTTCAAAAGTAAAACAAATTTATCACCTATGAAAGAAATAAACAAAAACCCTATAAAAATGATCTTGAATCAGTCAAAGAAACGATTAAAACGAGTGAAATTTCTGCATAAATAGCTTGCTTAAATTAGTTTAAATACGTATTAGGGTTGATGGAAATGAAAGCAGCGCTCACATAGGTTTTTAAAAATAAAAAGATTGCAAGTCTCAGCCAAAGTTTTCTAGGTGTTGTATACTCTTCCAAAAGCCCTGAATCTCCTCTACAAATTAAGGCAAAAAGATTTTGAATTGAATTGATTGTTGGGGACAAAAAGATAAATCCTTATATTCACAATAAACAAAAAAAAGAACTACGCGCGGATACGTAGTACTGTAGTACTGTAGTACTGTAGAACTTAATAATGTAGTACTGTAGAAGTTAATACTGTAGTACTGTAGAAGTTAGTACTGAAGAACTTAGTACTGTAGTACTGTAGAAACTCTTTGGCTAGTAGAAACTGAAGAATATTGATGTCTTGGAATGTCTTGGAATGGAAGATTTTGGAATCATGATGTCATACGAATAAATTACCAAAGAAGTAGAAGATCGATGGCCATTTAAAGATGGAGAGACAAAGAAAAGAACTGATTAGTGCAGAGCCACCAGCTGCTAGCTAAAACAAAATCATCTCTTGCAAATCATTGTGCTTTTGAGCTTCCCAATTTCTTTTATTGGTGTAGATATTGAAAATCTTGAATTCTTCCCAAGATAGAAACAGTTTTGAGCTCAAAAGTAAAACAAGCTTATGACCTATGAAAGAAATAAACAAAAACCCCACTTGTAGAGATAAGGAACCGAATTTAGGGAGATAAGGAACCGAATTTAGAGGGATAAGGAACCAAATATAGAGAGATAGGTAACCGAATGTAGAGAGATAAGGAACCAAATTCAGAGAGATAAGGATCCAATCTTGAAGAGATAAGGAACCAAATTCAGAGAGATAAGGAACCAAAAACCCTTGAATCAGTCAAAGAAACGATTAAAACGAGTGAAATTTCTGTCATTTTTGTCCCCAACAATCAATTCAATTCAAAATCTTTTTAGCTTAATTTGTAGAGGAGATTCAGGGCTTTTGGAAGAGTATACAACACCTAGAAAACTTTGGCTGAGACTTGCAATCTTTTTATTTTTAAAAACCTATGTGAGCGCTGCTTTCATTTCTTTAAACTAATTTAAGCCATTTAATATAAGCAATTTAGCTCTAATATTAAATATGATCAATATTTTTGCGATCAAGATGCTATAGAAATGTTTATGGAAAGAGAAGGGTCATTGACAACAATGCATTTCAAATCGACACTGATCATTCACTAGGTATCAAATTTCTCATGCTGAAAACATTCTGAACTTTCTTCAAAGTCAATATTTCTTTAATATGTTTTTAGATAAATGATCCTCAGACATTTCTTTTCATTTTTAACCTCTAACTTCAATAAATCTGCTTGTGAACTTTAGATAAGCTGGATGGGAAATCAGTTACGCAAAAATCAAAAAAAAGCTCGTCAATGTGTTTTTTTGTTATTCAAGTAACCAAGATTTATTGATATTTTAAAGGTTTAATGATTCCTAAAGTACGTGGTGAATAAAATGAACGATAAGTTGAAAAAAAAAGCTTTCTTATTGTTTTCTCGGTGATGCCAATTCAACGGCGACAAAATCTCGTGGTGCTCCCTGAATTGTTTTATCATTAAATGTCTTCTCAAGTGTAGCCTAAAGATAGAAATACACCTTTTCTAGTAGACTCAATTCTTTATTTTTTAGAAAAATCAGAAGGAAATGAAGATTTGAGTACGTGTTTTTATATTTTGAGTTTCTTAAGATAAAGTTAAAGATAAGATAAAGATAAAGATAAAGATAAGACAAAGATAAAGACAAAGACAAAGATAAAGACAAAGACAAAGATAAAGACAAAGACCAAGACAAAGACAAAGACAAAGACAAAGATAAAGACAAAGACAAAGACAAAGACAAAGATAAAGATAAAGATAAAGGTTCTTTGAGATTATCTCAGTATTTAACTGATCCTATTTGAGGATCTATTTGAGAATACAAAAAATATTCAACATTACCTTCAACGATTGAATAACCTCATCAATTGATCGAGCTCTCGTTTCAGGAAGATGACGCCAAATGATGAAAAAGCAGAGAACTCCTGGGAACACAAAAAGAATCAGAATCGTCCAAGCACCTAAGAATTTTTGATTAGATTTTGATTTGTCTTAGAAATAGAAAAATTTATTTAATTAATAGTTAAATTGTGGAATCGATATCTCCACTTTTTCATAGTTATTAGATTAACAAGAAAGTCTTTTCATTCAATATTTCTCTTTAGAAAAGATGAATTTATTTGTTTCTTCAGAAAGATTTTTCGATAAAATTCCTCTTTTTTTCTCTTTCTCTTTCTCTTTTCTATAAAAGAACGTTGAATTTATTTCAATTATTCTGAAAATGTTTAGTTTTTGGGGAGTGGGACAAATGCGACCTTTTTTTTGCGTACCCGGACATTTGCGCACCTTTTTTTCCGCACCTGACCCATTAGCGCACCTTTTTTCGCGTTTTAAAAAAGCTCTAAAAGGCTAATATTAACCAATTTCTATTCCAAAAGTTGTTTTTCTAGATAATTTCAGGCGTAGAATCGAAATTTTGACATATCAGAGCTTGTGGAAGCGAACGGACGGAGTTATACAAAGAGAAAAATCGACAATTTTCTGTAATTTGACCTACCCGTTTTGTCTTTCAAATTGGTCTTTCAAATTGATTCCACAAGCTCTGATATGTCAAAATTTGAATTCTACACCCTCAAATTACCTAGAAAAACAACTTTTGGAATAGAAATTGGTTAATATTAGCCTTTTAGAGCTTTTTTAAAACGCGAAAAAAGGTGCGCTAATGGGCCAGGTGCGGAAAAAAAGGTGCGCAAATGTCCGGGTGCGCAAAAAAAAGGTCGCATTTGTCCCACTCCCAGTTTTTGAGTTTTTTTTTCTGACGTGAAAAAAGTGAAAAGACTAGTTTGTCGAAATGGCTACTTTGGTGTACAGAAAAGTAGCTCTTTTCTGTGAAATCTTATTTAATGTTTCGATTTTGAATATCTCTGATTCTCCTGTCCTTTCTCTAAAAATAGTTTTGTGTGATAAAAATGGATGGAGCTTTGATCCCTTTGATCACACAAAGCAAAGAAACCGCATTTTGAGCGTGTCCCAGATTCGCCCATTTAACCAAAAAGACATCAAGTCTTCGCAGAGTTGATTAATTTTTATTTTTTTGGTATCAAAATGATCTTTGCACACGTCCACATAAAAGTTATCGATTTTGAGGGCACAATTTTTCGACCACGCTTAGAACGAGCCACCGAAAGTTGGTGGCGGCGAGCGAGTTGTGTGCGGTGCGGTTTTTTTTTCGATAAAAGGTATTTTAAAAAAATCGAGTCAGACGGATTTCGATAATTCGTTCTTCACCATTCGATTCAGCACAATTTTCTGCGTCGAATGGATATTCAAACGTGAAATTCTGATAGAGAATTTCTGATAGAGAACACCATTTCGCGCGGATGTGCGGAGGATTGCTTTGGATTGCTCTTTGGATTGCTTTTCTTTGGCTTTGAAACACTTTGAAACAACTGAACCAACGATTGATTCTATTTTATTTTATTTTCTCACGAGATTAGTAATTGTATTATATTCGGAATAAATATCAAATAATCATTGCCCCATCGGTACCCTCTCACGCACTGCACACGTTGATTTTTTTTACTTTGTTTCAAAATTGTGATGTTAAAACTGTGAAATTCTATTAGGATTTGATGAAATAAATAAAAATACAGCTTTCTACTTCAAAAACCCAAAGAATTTTTACCAATTTGATCATAAAGGGGTAAAGTGATTGCCACCAAGAGAAGAGCAATTGTTTGATTTGTGGCCAATGCAAGGGATTGAGCGATGGCGCGAACCTAGAACAAGTTTAATATCAAGAGAGAACCTCAGAATATAATAATGAGGTTGAATGTAGAGCACTGGGGTTTTAAGTTTTCTTCTCAACTTACCCTTAATGGCATCAATTCAGAGATGAGAAACCAAGCAATTGGACCCAGGCCAACACTGTAACTCCCACCGTGCATCATCACAGCCACAATACAACCAATGTTTGCTGATTGGTAGATGGGCTGAAAGAATTGTAAAAGAGGATGATAAGATGTGAATGATAAAGAGGTATTTTGTGGCTCTTTTGTGGTTCTTTTGACTAACCGTCAACTCAGCTGAAATCACGAACAGCAACAATGCGCCAAGATTGACGCAAGCTGTTGAGATGAGCAACGTTCGACGCGCAATTTTCTCCACCAAAATCATTCCCACACAGGTGCAAAGAGTGCTAAAAGCTTTGATTAAATATCAGGCTTTTGAAATGTACAATAGACTGATTGGGAAACAAGGGAAAGTCTAGCCTTTTGACTTGACTTTTGACTTGAGACCAAGTGCATCTTATAGAGTCGGTCATGGGATCTCGAATCATTATGATCCACACGCTTCTCTCACAACCACTTCAGTGGTCTAGTGGATAGTCTGCTAGACTACCGGACTTATTACAAGCTTGTTCTAGTGCTAGGTATTCTAGTGGATAGTCTGCTAGACTATCGAACTTATTACAAGCTTTGGTCCAAAGTTCGAGTCCCACTGTCGCCAAATCTTTTGCTTCTTTAAAAACTATTTCCCTATTGCTTAAATACCTTTCCCTTTTAAGTATATCATTAACAAAGAAAGCACTCTTTTCCACTTTCTAGCATATTGAATTCATCAACTTTGAACAGAGAGACTTTTCCTGAAAGCCAAGACTATCTGGGAATGCAAATCAAGCTGTTTCTATTCAATGTTTTTTCAAGTTCTGCTTTTTTATCCAACCTGACAAAGAGCATGATTGTTGAAATCAATTCGGAAAGCTCACCATCGATGCCAGTCCTGAAAAAAGTCGAATATTATTTAGATTGTTTAAAATATTATAAGAATTTTAATTTAACACAAAAAAAATCAAAAAAAACCTTCGTAAAAATTCGGTGGAAAAGAAAACGATTGGCCAAATTGAGACGGCAATTTGTAAAGCACAAAGACCAAGAAGGAAACCTAATAAAACATTTGAAAGATTCGAGTTAAATGCAAAATTTCAAAACCTTTACGCAAATGTGGCGTCGAAAGCAACTCTTTCAGCGATCCGTTTCCCTCTCTTTCATTGCTTTCTTCTAATTGAGTTTTATTCTCTTTATTAGGCTCTAAATTCTTTTTATACTTTAGAAATTTTGCATAAATCTTTACTGATTCTTTGATAGAAGTATGTGGCTTTCTCGGCTTTTTCTCGATCATTTCGCTTTTCCAGCAGAAAGATCGGACTCTCGGCCACGGGAATGACGACAAGAACGGAAAGAGCAGAAACAATCACCGCTACTCTAAAGAGATACAGTACTGGGACAATGAAATATGATATTTGAAAAACGATCGTCACTTTTGAGCATCTGTAACTCCTTTGTCTTTGAGTTTAAACTATTAGTGTTATACATTTTCTGAAAGATCTTTTCAATGGCTACACAATGATAATATTAATATTTAGAAATACGGTAAAGACAAGGGAGTTACAGACGGGTGAAAGTGATGATCTTTTTTCAAATATCATATTTCATTGTCCAGTAGTGTACGTTGAAGATTTGAATTTTGAACTTGATTCTCTTGGATCTTGGATTTACATTGTGAAAAGCTATCATATGCAAGTCAATTTGATTCTCTTGGAACTTTTCTTGGGACAAAAGATTCAAATAAACTTCACCAATAGTTTCTACGACCTTGAAAACTCCGAGACACAAATTCTCTCTTTTTCTAGAGTATCCTACAAGATTGTCGAGTCTAGATAACTCATTTCTTAACCTAAGTTTACAGTAAACGATGATGAGAACACCTTTGCACTGTTCACTTTATCGTGGAGTGAATTTCACTACTCTAAGTTTGTGTAACCACCAAGAACTGTATGAATCTTGTGTTAAAAACAAGTTCATCACAATGTTGCCAGCTTTTACAGATGTTCGTATCCAATAGAAGTAGAAACGTTAATGCAACAGAATCAATTTCCCTACCATTGTTGTCTACAAACCCAGTCAACAGATGCAAATTCGTTCCCAGTAAACTCCTCATCCCGGCCATTCCTCCAACAAGATTCGTGACAACGAAAGCCATTTCTGCATAAAATGACATCAATCCACGCATAGACACTGGAGAACTTTCCTGAAATCGTCAAAAGGAGGACCGGTAGTTCTTTTCTTTCTTCGAGCTATAGAATTAGCGATTTTTTTTCGTTGTAGACTTCAGAGTGTACTTTCTGGACATTGAAAACAAAGTCTTTCTGGTGCACTCGATTCCAGAATTCTCGAGAATTTCTAGTGCACTCGATTCCTTTTCAATTCTATTAGAAAATGAGGGCTTGAGTGCATCAGAAAGGGTATGTTTCGAGCACAAAGTACCCTCTAAAGAACAAGTGAAATGATTCTGTTACATTAACGACGAGCCTGTAGTAGAAGGATCAGAGAGTTCATTGAAATGGCCGCCGAGAGGGAGAAAAAGAGACGCGAAAGGGTGAAAGCGATGATCGAATTGAAGAGAATTCCGAGAAAGGAGATCAGGGCTGAGATCGTGTTTGCGATGTTTCCAACAAGGAGACCACCTGAAAGAGATCATTCAAGAGTTGAACTTTAGCAGGAAGAGTATGTTTTGAGCACAAAGTACACAAAGCACAAAGAGCACTGACAACGCCTACAAGTCTAACAAGTCAGCCTAAAGCTCTACATCCGATTTCGAAAACGGTATCTGGTTTAAGGCTATTCTTTTATAATTCTATAATTCTATTCTTCTCTAATCCTTTCAATTCTATTTACTTTTTCTTACTTTTTCTTACTTTTTCTTACTTTTTCTCCCAATTCGATCAGCGATTATCGGTGACAAGCAGCTTCCAATTGAAAAGCCGATAAACCACGTGTCAAGTAAAGCCGACCAAAGCCAAGAGAATTTCGCATCAGTCAGTTCAAGTCCTGAAAATTACACTTGCACTTTAGCGCACTTTTCTATTTCACTCTTCTATTTCACTCTATAATTCGACTTCCCATTATCAGATCGACTTGAGTTTGGTTTTAAAATAATCCTCATAAAATTTGGTTATAGAAAACTACAATTTATTTTGTATACTCAAGTGTAAAAACATCGAGAAAATCTCTCTCAAAGTTGACTTACCTAGCTACAGAAGTCAATCAACTTTGACGGTCTATAACTCGAAGTGTAAGAATTGAATCGACTTGTGATTGCTTTTAAAAGAATCCTCATTAAATTTGGCTATAGAAAAGTAGAATTTGTTTTGTATACTCTTTAATAAAAACATAGAGAAAAACCGTCTTGAAGATTAATGCGCTAAAGTGCCGTTTTTCTATAGTCAAAATGGCACTTCAGCGCACTCTAGCGCACTCTAGCGCACTCTAGCGCACTCTAGCGCACTTCAGCGCACTTTAGCACACTCTAGCGCACTTCAGCGCACTCTAGCGCACTCTAGCGCACTCTAGCGCACTTCAGCGCACTTCAGCGCACTCTAGCGCACTTCAGCGCACTTTAGCACACTCTAGCGCACTTCAGCGCACTTCAGCGCACTTTAGCATACGTTAGATTGTTAGATTTCTGTTATTAATATACCATATTCTTTTGTAGTCACATTAAGAAAATCGCGGAAAGTGTCGATTGACGTGTTCGGGTAGGCTGTTGCGTAGCCCATCTGGAATCTTTTTCTATAAAAATGGCTTTAAAAAAAGATGTAAATTGAATGAGTTAGCTAACTTGAAACTTTATACAAGGCTTAAATGAAACTTTTAACATAAAATTAACTCAAATTTTCCCGCAAATTTACCCTCAAAAATTTCAGCTTTAAAATCGTGCTTATATGCTTGAATTCTCCAAGATTCTTATTACTATTTAAAAGTTATTTTCAAATAAAAGTAATGAATAAAAGTCTTTTAGCAAAAGGCTCAGCAATTTCCGTTTCAATTTTTCCTGATTTACCTGAAAAATTGAGGTAAACGAGAGAACGCCACCAATGACAAGGAGTCGAATTTGCGATCGTCGATCCATCTCCATTGACGAACTGTCGACAGCCATTTTTCTTTCACTAGATTTATAAATTTTAGTCATTTTCTTTTAAAGTACTATTTGTGAAAAAGAAATTAAAAAAGAAAAAGAAAGAAATTCCGTAAAAAAATTTGATTTTTGTGAAACGAGAGAAATAAATGTTTGCCTTTTGAACTCACTGCGGATAAGCCGATTGTAAAAACGAAGCCTTTTTCGCTTTTCTGTTAATTTTTCAAAAAAAAAACACACATATGGTGTCATTTTTGGGTTTAAAGAAATGATGTTAGTGAGGAAATCAAATTCGAATCGTTCTTTGCTTGAAAGCAACAAGAAATCAAGGTAATGGCAAGGAAAAAGCAAGTTATTTTTGGCTTTTCATCATTTCACGTAGTGATCCTTATCAAATTTCGGTCGTTTCCCATCCCCATCATCTTTCCCTTTATCATTCTTTTGCGAACCGTATTACCGTATTTTCTCTAATAGTAGTGCACCCCGGCGAGCCGAGTTTGATGACTATTTTACGGTTTCCAAGCTTTTGCAGAAGCTCAACACTCAAATCCCCGACTAGATCTCATCGTCAGCTACATTTTCCGACCCCACATCGATAGGTTCTGATAAGCGGTTCTCGAGATTTCAAGCAATTTAGGCTATGCTGTGCACTACTATTAGAGAAAATACGGTTGTTTATATATTAACTCTAATATGACACCAAATATAACCGTATTCTCTCTACTAGTAGTGCACCGCCGGCGAGCCGAGTTGATGACTATTTACGGCTTCCAAAGTTTTCCCAGAAGCTCAACACTCAAATCCCCAACTAGATCTCATCGTCAGCTACATTTTCCGACCCCACATCGATAGGCTCTGATAAGCGGTTCTCGAGATTTCTCGAGCCGAGCTGATGACTATTTACGGCTTCCAAAGTTTTCCCAGAAGCTCTGATAAACGGTTCTCGAGATTTCAAGCAATTTAGGCGACTACTATTAGAGAAAATACGGTATTTATCCCCGAATTTCCTTCAGAATTGCTTTGAGCCTTCAAAAATTATCGGTTAACGCCAAACGCCAAAAACGCCATTCTTTTGAAGCCAGTGTTTAATTATCCAAGTCCCGCCCCCAGATCTGGGACAGTGTGTTAGTGTTTTCTATGAGCGACACGAAAAGAACGCACAAAAAAATTTCCTTTACAAAGCGCTTTTTTTAGAAAATTCAAAAAAACTCATTTTTCAAAAATTCTTTGAGTTCTAACACTTGATATTTGTAGCTACTCCATTAAAGTATCCGAAACTATTAGAAAATATTTTTTTGCAAACCGTTTTCGCTCCGTGGGAGTCGAACCCCCTTCTTGAAGTCTCAGATTGATCTCGTGCCATGAAATCCGAGATAACACCCGGTTTTTCCGCTTTTTGCAAAAAATCACACAACTTCCTAATAAAATTAATGCCGGATTCCAAAAGAGGACCCATAATTACATATCCTGACGAATTTTCAGCTCATTTGATCCAGCCATTCACCAGGAATAGCCGTGACTCGGCATCGAGTCACTACTATGTGTTAAGACTTGATCATTTTAGATACCGTATTCTCTCTAATAGTAGTGCGCACTACTATTTTTTCAACCCCCTCCTGGACCGCAATACTATTAGAGAGTGCACTATTATTAGAGAGAATACGGTAATAAAATGAAGGGTAAATGACTTAGTACTGAACCCAATAGAACAAAGTAAAGCTAAAGTAAAGCATATGCTTTATTTTAAACTTTCAACTATTAAACTATTTAGTTTAAAGGAGAAAATAATAGAATTTTAAAAAGAAAAATAAGAAAATGAACGCCAAAATGGGGTTTCGAGCTTTGGGCTTTCGGGGAAATTGATTTTTTTTGTTTGGGAAACGGCTGGATTGGATCTCTTTGAGAGAAGAAATCTCTCTGTTTTTCTTTGCTCGTTTTTCTTTCTTTTCCCGCGAAATCTTTTATTCAAGTGATATGTCTAGACATTCAGAGAAAACAGACAAAGATCAAAGATCAAAGAAAAGTTTTTCAAAATCAAAATTTTGTCAAAGAAATAACCAGAAAGTAGCCAAAAAGTAGATATCATTCAGATAAAGAGCTTTAAAATCAAGTTGATGATAGAAAATTTATATAAAAGCTCTATAGAATCTGCACAGAATACAAATCTATTGGGTTGGTGAATTGAAAACTGTCGGCTATTGTCATATGTAACAGTTTGAGCACTTTCTTCGAAAGAAACCCATTTTGGTGTCAATGGAAAAGTTGTAGAGAATCAAAAATCAAGCTTATATCCAAATTTTCAGAACGATTCAAAAACCGGTTTTCAAGAAATGTCAAATTTACGAGTTTTCACAAAACTTGCAACAACACTTGCATTTTAAGCGAAACTACTAAGTGTATCTTTTTGGAAATTTGGCTATAAGCCTAATTTTTGATTCTCTACAACTTTTCTATTGACACCAAAATGGGTTTCTTTTGAAGAAAGTGCTCAAACTGGGCTGACAGCTGACATCTCCAGTCCTCGATTTTTGAGTCTCACACTTGTCTCACACACAAACCAAAATCCTACCACGAAAGAGGAATCCACAAATTGCCTGTAAAATGGGCAGAAGTCGTCAATAATAATGGAAATTATTTCGAATGAATTCATGGGTTTTATGTTGAATAAATTTTAGTTCAAAGTCCCGCAGTTTTCAATTCACCAACCCAACATTTATATCCACAGAAAGATGATATCATAGAGCACTTTTTGTCGGCAATCAATGATGATGAAATTTGAGCCTTTGAACGAGAAAAGAGAAAGTTTCATGGAAATTATTCTTTAGTATATGAAAATCGAAAAATAGAATGATTTTCTTAATAAAATTTCTCAATAAACTCTTCACAAACATCGAGGATTCCGTAAAGTTTTCGGCGGAACTCTTTTGCAGTTTTTTCTTTTTTCGATTCTAAAGTTGTCCATTTTAAACGCTTCAAAAAATTAATACATTGCACTATGCAAGGTGCGTTTACATTTGAATACCAAGAGCACAAGGCAGCTCGACTGGCTTAGACACAATGAGATACCGGGGTAGAGATGGGATTCCATCCCGAGCCTAATTCCACCCTCATTTTCTCAGCCATTTCTTAGCCGATTTTTCTGAAATTTTGCTTACAAATAGAAATTAGTATTGAAAATAGAAATTAGCATTCATTGTGGATAAAATTTCAGAGGAATCGGTCAAGAGACAGCTGAGAAAACGAAGATAGAATTAGGGTCGGCTTGGAATTTTCTCATGTCTAGTTGACTTGAAATGAGAATGGGTAAATGAAAGATCGTAGCCTTGATTTCTAGCATAATATCAAGAGTTTATTGTACTTGTTTTTACTTGAAAAGTGATGTTGATTCGAATCCGAATCTAACATTTGTTATAAAGTTTACCCGGACAAGTCCTCAGCATCGCGTCAACAATCGGCACCAACATCGACGTCACAATTACCATTTCGATGGGGAAAGTTTTCTCAAAAGCTTCGATAAACTGAAATTGATACGTTTTACGAAAATACAAATCAAATTTTACCTTTTCTTTCGATTCCCATGGAAGCTCTTTTGGAAAAGCTTCTTTTTTCAGCTCCTCAAAGTAAAACTCCAAATAGAAATCCCTTCTGAAAGATAATAAACAAAATTTTGAAGAATTTACAAATTTCCTACAATAGATTGAAATCTAAACTTGTTGATTTACCGATTTTTGAGATCCTCTGGCGACAAAGAGATTGCGAAAAGGCGAGCCAAATCTGTCAATGGATTCCCGATATGACACATCTAAACTTGAAGAAGTTAACGTTTCTCTTTACCCATTTCTTTTCCCCGTCATGACCAACTGACTAAGAGCCTTGTAACTTAGTCGAGGGTTAGAGAGTTCAATGGTTCAATCTCGCCTCAATCTCAATCTCTAGATTATTGTTTCTTTTTCTCATCTATGGATTTCCCATACATTTAGGGCTTAAGGGTTATGCTTATCTATATTGTTTTTACTTTATTCGTGTGAATAAATATCTTTTTTAGATCCCTTCTTAAAATCCCTTCTTAAAATCTTTTTATACTTACTTGCCAATCGAGTGCAATCTTCGGTTTCAAAACATTGTCCACTTGATGCCAGAGAAAGTTAGCGATTGTGAAATCTCCGTGGCACAGAAGCTTCATTGGACCTAGAATAAGATATTATTTTAGTATTTTAAGTAAACAAATCGATTATCATTACAAATTATGCAGGAATTTCAGAATAAAATGATTAAAAGAATCAGATGAGCACAAAAGTTGACGAAAAGGTGATAGAAAGTGATGAAATCCGATGTAACACCCGTTTTTTCCGCTTTTTACGAAAAATCACACAACTTCCTAATAAAACTAATGCCGGATTCGAAAAGAGGACCGATAATTACGTATCCTGACAAATTTTCAGCTCATTTGATCCAGCCATTCACAAGGAATAGCCGTGACTCGGCATCGAGTCACTATGTGTCAAGACTTGTTCATTTTAGATAATAAAATGAAGGGTAAATGACTTAGTACTGAACCCAATATTCCTTGTGAATCGTCTATGTGTTAAGGCTCGTTCATTTTAGATAGAAAGTCATAGAAAGTCAAATGACTTTTAGCAATTATTCGAATTCATTCATTTTTTGCCAAATATAGCCAAATATACAACAAATTTAGGCTCAAAAATTTCAAAATCGGCTTTTATTGGCGGAGCTTTTATTGTTAAATCTTTCAAAGAAAACCCTCTGTTTCTAATTCTTTTTCTTTTCTCAAAGCTTTCACTCACAAGTTTCCATTTTAATCGCTCTTTCTCTCTCCAGATGATCGTAGATTTGTGCAAACTTGTTGATGCGCTCGATTTGATCCTTTTTCTGCGGTTCATCGATGAGAATCGTATTCAAAACGGATTGAGTTGACTAAATCGAATAGTACAAGACGTTTCAAGTCAAGTCAAGTTTCAAGTCAAGTCAAGTCAAGTTTCAAGTCAAGTTTCAAGTCAAACGATCGACCTCAGCGGAAAACAATTGTGCGTACACCGTTTCAGGGACATTTCTCGAGATTTCGTTCACGATATCGGGGTTTAAAATAGCTGAAATTTTATGAAATTTATGAAAAATTCAATTTTTTGAAAATTCCCTAAATTTACCTCTCGAGTGAATGTTGGTGGCCATTTTAAGAATGTCGAGAAATGCTGGCTCTTTGACACAATCATATTGATAACGAGCCTCGATTCCTTCGATCAACTCAAGCGCGATGTAGCCTAGAGATCAATAAACTAGCCGGATTGAGAAGATCAATTAATCCTAGAGAAAATCAATAATCTAGCCGGCGGGATTGAACCGCCGGCTAGATTTTCCGTCTCCCGACCAAGATACAGGACTCTTAGACAGTCAGCCATCACGGCTCAAAGCAGGAATGCTTTAAAACCGCCTCACAACCGCAAAACGGTCGAAACGAAAACCGGCTCAAGCCAGGCGAGTCAGTCTTACTGAACAAAAGCGATTAAAAAAGCCAAAGTCTGCCTTGACTTATCTGCCTTTCGTTTACCAGTTCAACTTAACAAGTTTTAGTTAAGTTACGGTTTTCTTAGTTCAACTCAAGTTCAACTTACTCAATTCGAGCGCAACACAGTCAAAGCTAATTCAAATTCGATTTTTCCTGAGCCAGCTAGCCTAGATGCCAGCTAGCCTAGATGCCAGCTAGCCTAGATGCCAGCTAGCCTATGCCAAAGCCTAGCGCTAGATCTGTAGATGTGGCTCACAAAAAGACTTAGACCAGCTAGAAACTTGCTTCATTTTCTTAGGTTTCAAAAATGGTAAAAGTAAAAAGAAATTTGAATATTTGACTAACCGCAAGAAATTCCATGACCAGCCTTTCTCCCGCAATAGAACCTCGTAATCCAATCTTCATCGAGTCCCCATTTCTTGCAATTCTCATAGAAGTTTAGCTCATTATTGCTAAAATCGGATTTCGATTTTGAAAATGAAATCAGCTCTTCAGAAATACTTGATCATTGCTCCAATGTCTGAAAACTCGTCCGAGCTCTTTGCCAAAATCTGATCAACGACTTTCTAAAAGCTTTACATCAAAAGAAGTTTAAGACTAACTTGTATAGCTAATTGTAATTGTAAAGTTTATCAATAGAAAAATCAACCTGCAACTCTTGCGCCGTAGTCACTTTAACGACGGCCTTCTTTGGCAGAAACTCAACACTTTCACCGATCCAATCGAAATTGATAAAGACAACTTGTGAAACAAAACCCTAGAAAAGAAAAAGTCTCCATCAAAAAAGATGAAATGTTTAAGAAATTCTAGGCTTTTTTTTTTGCTTAAAACTGACTCCATGAATCTCGGTGAAATGAGCTTTCCGATGTTGACCAAATTTGGCTTTTGTTTCAAATGCTTTCTGCATATCATTTTCTAAAAGATCCCAAGTGAGCGGGGGAAAAATGAAATCCGATGATCGATCCATCATTTATCTTAAAAATATTGGATTGGTGAATTGAAAACTGCCGGCTATTGTCATATGTGACAGTTTGAGCACTCTCTTCAAAAGAAACCCATTTTGGTGTCAATGGAAAAGTTGTAGAGAATCAAAAATAAAGCTTATATCCAAATTTTCAGAACGATACAAAAACCGGTTTCCAAGAAATGCCAAATTTACGAATTTTCACAAAACTTGCATTTTAAGCGAAACTACTAAGTGTATCCTTTTGGAAATTTGGCTATAAGCCTCATTTTTGATTCTCTACAACTTTTCTATTGACACCAAAATGGGTTTCTTTTGAAGAAAGTGCTCAAACTGGGCTGACAGTTGACATCTCCAGTCCTCGATTTTCGAGTCTCACACTTGTCTCACACACAAACCAGAATCCAACTACGAAAGAGGAATCCGCAAATTGCCTGTAAAATGGGCAGAAGTCGTCAATAATGGAAATTATTTCGAATGAATTGATGGTTCTGGTGGACATTGCGCTTAAAAATATTGGATTGCTGAATTGAAAACTGTCGGCTATTGTCATATGTGACAGTTTGAGGACTTTCTTTAAAAGAACCCCATTTTGGTGCCAATGGAAAAGTTGTAGAGAATCAAAAATCAAGCTTATATCCAAATTTTCAGAGCGATTCAAAATTCAAAATTCAAAAATTCAAAGAATTAAGAAAAATTTCGAATTGGTAGAGTCTTTTCAAGAAAACCAGACGAATTTCTATGTTTCTCTGAATCATAACACATCTTTTTCCCCCATTTATTTGCTATTTTCTATCCTTTTTGTCCCTCCCCCGATTGCACAATCAGTGGTAAGAAAAGGAAAGCCATTACCAGCCAAAACATGAAAAATATTGAGATTATAAAGTTTTATTTGATAATTAGTAAATAGAAAATAGAAAATAGAAAATAGAAAGAAAATTGGGTTTATTGGTGCCATTTCTTGATATATTCTTCACAAAGATCGAGCGCTTTGTAGACTTTTTCCATGATTCGCGCCTCTTTTTCCACTTTTTCATCTTCTAAATGAGTTAAATAAAAGAAGAAAAGAGGTATTATCGATCTTTTCTTGGCTTCCCTAACCTTTAGCTACTTATTTAACCAAAGAAGACCCTCAGAAAAGAGTTTGCAAAAGAAGAATCAAAGAAGATCTTATCTGTTCTCTTTGCGCGTAAAGATTACCCGAGTTCCAACTGATAGACTTAATAAAATAAATAGCTCCAATGGATTTCCGGATCCCGAAAATCCACAGGTACAAATTTAAACCTCAATCTTTAAGGCAATCATTTAAGGCAATCATTTAAAGCAATCATTTAAGACAAAAATCCGGGCCTCGAGCTGTTCTTTGTGCGACGATCTGACATTTGGAATCGCTCACGATCTGGCCAACTTTCTCAAGTATAGGAGGAATTAGAATGATTTGAACTAGACTACTATTCTCATTTGTGACTTCAGTGGTGTTTAGAAGAGTCACAAATATCGATTTCAAAGGTTTTCACTCACCCGAACACGTCCTCAACATCAATGGAATGAATGGCACCAATAAGCCGCAAACGGAAACCGTTTCGATGGGGAAAATTCGCTCAAACGATTCGATTAACTGAATATTTTATTTAAACAGATATCAACGTTCATGAGAATTGTACCTTTTCCGACGTTTCCCATGGGATTTGTGCAGGCGAGGCTTGTTGCTTCAGCTCGTCAAAGTAGATCTCCAAATATTCGTTTCTTCTGAAAAAATTGGCTTTTTTTTTTGCTTAGATCTTTAAAATCTATCTAATATCTTAAAAATGAACAATTTCAGAGTCTTACTTGTTGTTCGAGACCCCAGGTGCAATGCACAAAGCAAAGAGACGCGAGAGATCGGTCATCGGGTTTCCAGGATGGTTCATCTGAAGGTTTTTCTTGAAAAGTAATCTAATTTTTAGATCTAGATCTACTTCTTGATTCCCTTAACTCTTAATTTACTTCTCTTACTTCTCTTACTTCTCTTACTTCTCTTACTTCTCTTAATTTCCTTCTCTTACTTCTCTTAAATCTTAATTTCCTTCTCTTACTTCTCTTAACTTTCTATAACCTTTTCTCAAACCTGCCAATCGTGAAGTGCTTTTAAACGAAGCTGCTCGTCAACTCGTTCCCATAACACGTTCGCTTGTGTCAGATCTCCATGGCATAACACCTCGATTGGACCTTGAAAATAATAAACTACAATACTTTTTCCTTCCCCCAAATCTTCTGATCCAATTTTTAAGAGAAATTCAAATAGAGAGGCTAAAGAAAAGCGTATTTATCTGTTTTTACGCAAAAATTGATTTCTTTTACGGGAAAAGGATTGAAAACACAAAAAGCTGCATGAATCTTTTGAATTCTAAGCCTAACTATCTAGGCCTTAGAATCTAGGCCTTAGAATCTAGGCCTTAGAATCTAGGCCTTAGAATCTAGGCCTTAGAATCTAGGCCTTAGAATCTAGGCCTTAGAATCTTTTCAAGTTAAAGGGTACTTATGGATTATGATTATGATCGAGCATGATACCTAAAACTCTCAATAATGATCGATCCTTTTAATCCCAGCATTATGTCATTCGAGCATTGACAACAACAACAAAAGAAATCTCTTTTTTTTCGAACTTTATAAAAATGCCAAGAAGAAAAACAAGAAAAACTCACAAGTTTCCCTTTTCAACTCGAGAATTTTGTCCTTTTTATCATAAAGATCAGTGAATTTCTTCAACACCTCAATTTGCTCAGCCCTAGCCGGCTCCTTTTCAATAATCTTGTCCAAATTTGAGCAAACAGCCTTAACAATATTAAAATGACATTCAACTTTTTAATAAACTCACTCCAGCCTTGATGAATTGAGCGTTCAGCTTTCTCGGCACATTTTCAGGAATATCGCCGAGAAGTGTCGGGTTTTTAATTGCTAAAAGGGAAAAAATATCACCGTAAGTTTTAGATATTTAAAACGCAACTTTCGATATTCACCTTTTGCATGAAAATTTGCCGCAATTCTCACGATATCCAAAAACCCGGGCTCTCCAGGGGAATCGTATAGGTACTGAGCCTCGATTTGATCCACCCACTCAAGAGCTATGTAGCCTGAAATTTCGCTTTTTCTTTTTACATACCGTAAATACTGTAATAGTACCCCACCGCCCTCGTACAGTCGCGTAGTCGCAAAAGTTTTTTTAGTATTTCATTTTTTTCAAAGCGCCCCTACTTTCAAAAAATGCGTCTTTGGTATGGAGGCGTTTTTCTCGACACTGGTTTATGCTAAAATATTCGTTTTGATATCAAAAAATAGCCCTGAAATTCAGGGCTATTTTTTGATACCTTTGTGTGCATTATAGCTTAAACCAGTGTCAAGAAAAACTCGTTCAAAGCTAGACTACACAACACTCCGCACCGTCATTATGGGCGGTGGGGTACTATTACAGTATTTACGGTATATTAAATCATATTATATAGATTTTAAGATGATTTTCTAATCTAGACTGAATACGGTAATCCAGCTAATCGTGACTGAATACCGTAAACTAGACTGAATACCCTAATCTAGATTGAGTACCGTAATCCAGTTAATCTAAACTGAACATCCTAATCTAGATAGAATCTCCTAATCCCCCTCATACTTTAATAGGTTTAAAATCAAATGTAAACTTGTAAACTTGTGTAAACTTGTAATGTGTAAACCTTGAAAATTTCGTGTAAAATTCAAATTTCAGCTTCGACGAACTCTTTCCAATGTTTTGCATCCGATTCTTTCTGCTATATTTGATTTAATAAAAGTTTTTTGATTACCAAAATTGATTTAAATTGTTTATGAATATTCTTTTATAGTATTTGTTCAAGATTGAACTGCAATAACACTCACCAGCCGCCACCCCATCACCGGCTTTGCGTCCACAGTAAAAACGCGGAATCGTCACATCGTCGAAGTCCCATTTTTGGTGGTGAGCATAGAAATTGAGCTCATTGTTGCTGAAAAAAAGTGATATCAAAACACAAAAAAGTAAACGCAAAAGATAGATTATCGAATATGTGGATAAGATTAAGATTGTGAATAAGATTGCGGTGGAGTTGAACACATCGGCCCTTTTACGGCTTAAGGCTGGGAATCCAAGAGGTGGTCGGTGTCGGGGTTTGATCCCTTACCATGCGATCGCTCTACCAGTGAGCTACACCGACAAGTGCCTCATTACCGACAGGATAGGGTCTTACTGTGGCTTTGAAAGCTTTGAAAGTTTCAACTTTTCTTCAACTTCTCACCTAATCATCCCTCCAATATCATTCATCATTTCATTGTCCTTTTCCTCGATTTTCTTATCAAGAGTCGCACCGGTTAGTTTCTAAAAAAATTTCTTTTGTACTTACCGTATTTCTTCGAATAGAAGACCGGGTAAAGAGTATGATCGCGTACTCCTGCGTAGCGGCCCTTTTTAAAATTTCTTTTCTGCATAAAAGCTTTCAATCAAGTGCTATAGAGCTGGAAAATGGCTCAAAAATCTGTTAGCTCATGTTTTATTTTTGAGTCATTTTTCAGCCCTATAGCACTTCATTGAAAGCTTTTATGCAGAAAAGAAATTTTAAAAAGGGCTGCTACGCAGGAGTACCCGATGATACTCTTTACCCGGTCTTCTATTCGAAGAAATACGGTATACAAACCGTTTTCCAAAAGATTAGCTTAATAATGATATCTGGCAGATAATCGGCTATGGGAACCACGAATCCGTTTTCCGTTTTTGCAAAAACGCTTCGCAATTGTGATATATCTTTCTGGCATGTTTCCAGAAAGCAAAAAAGTTTTGGCGTGCACCAAGCGACTGTGGGAGTCGAACTTGGGACACCAAAGTGGGCTCGGTAGCCTAGCACACTATCCATTACACCACTGAGAAAGCTGTTCAACTTTTGTGTCTAACTTGCTTCTAACTTGCTTCAAATCTGTCAGATTGATATGATCTATAGCTTAAAAAATAGAGAATCTCAAGAGCTTTCGAATCGCCTAAAGAACACTCAAAAATATCTTGAACAAGGACTGTCTTTATCTAAGGACTTGGACAAAGTCTTGGGCTCGTCAGAAGTCCGACTCGGGCTTGGCTTACTGGCCAATAGTCCCTATTTGCCTGACTTCTGGCTTGGTACGGTTTTTTTTTGATCAAGGACCAGAAGCTAGACTAAGACGGGTCTGATCCTGAACTGATTCAGCCCAAAATGACTTTAAAATAGTCATCTGCACTATAAACTACAAAAATGACGACCTGTTACATTACAAACGCTTCTAAATTGCTTCAAATCTACCGGATTGACATGATCTATAGCTCAAAAAATCGAGAATCTCAAGAGCTTTCGAATCGACTAAAGCACACTCAAAAATATCAATGCTATCAAAATATCAATGCTATTAACGCCTCCATAAAGAGTCCGAAATTGAGGGCAATTTTCTATGCCAGATATCTGACGATTCCTCAAAAAACGTACCTACAAAATGTACCTTCAATTCTTTCGATGTTGTCACTTTGACAACAGACTTCGATGGAAGATTCTCACTTTTTTCACCAATCCAATCAAATGTGACGAAGACGACTTGTGAAACAAAACCCTGAAATGATTAAGATTAATGGATGAATGAATGAATGATTAAGTGCGTCAGAAAGGGTGCGTTTTGAGCTCAAAGTACGCAATGTTAATCACTCCATCACCCCATTGAAAACAGACCCCATGTGCCTCTTTGACTTCAGCTTTTCGATTGGCTCCAAATTTGGCTGTGGTTTCAAAAGCTTTCTGCATGTCATTCTCAAAGATTTCCCATGTTAATGGCTCCCATACAAATTCTGAGGCCATTTTTATATTTGATCTGAATAAATTGATAAAATGATTGATAAAATGATAAAAAATTATAAAAAAGGAAAAAAAGTAAAAGAAAACCAGTTTACTATTAAATCTATTTACTATTTATCTACTACTATTTACTATTTACTATTTACTACTATTTACTATTAAATCCCGTGCCCAGAAAACTCGAAAAAAAGAAATTTTGTAAAAGTTTAACAGAAAATTTCAAGAAAAAAGCTCTTTGAGTGTTTTTGGCACGATTACCTCTTTCTTTTTATAGTGCTCGGCGCTTTTTCGATCAATGCACTCCGATAATTGCTCTCTTTCCCCCCACAGCAAACTCTCTCTCTTTCGTGTTAGTATTTGCTGATTGCACAACAATCCGCAACACAAAGGTTCGCCTTTTTTTCTGAAAACTAAATAAACGAATTGGATAAGCGGAAATCGAAATGATATTTACGAAAAATCGCAGCTCGACCAAGACCTAAGAAGTACGGATATGCGCCAGCTCTCGGGACTCAGAGATCCAGTGGAAGTGATTGAGAGAAAAAGACTCAGATGGGCCGTAGCCAGAAGAACAGACGACAGATGGACGATACGGATCACAGAGTGGCTACCACGGGACCAGAAGAGGCCCATCGGAAGACCAGCAACGAGGTGGAGCACAAGAGTGGCAGAGACGGTCAGAGAAAGGATGGCTACAGTGCAACCACCACCAGCACAAGCAAGTCGAAGACTTCGAACCAGGAACAATCAAGATAGGAAACACTGGATGACAATAGCAAGGGATAGAGAAATGTGGAAGCAGGTTGTGATCTGCGCAAATAGGAACACCTGAGTGCGAAAACAGACTAAAAAGAAAAAATGTACGAAAAATTTGGTGAAGTAAATGAAATGAGGACTGGAAAAATGTAGATTTTGAATAAGATATTCAAATTGATAGAATTGTTGAGATTTGTGGACTTCCCAAAAGAGAAATCCGATCCAAAATTTCTCGAGAGACTCTATCTGGGTCTTGGGCTTAATACTAACCTCTAACTTGGGTAATTAAACCGACTTTGGCGGTCTCTTTCTCGCTATCTATCTATCTGCCCCATGTGCCAGAAGGCGCACGATTATGACTCCCCCAAAGTACATCTCCCAAACTCGCATTTCACCGCCATTTCAGCTAAAAGTTTCGAAATTCCCCAAAAGGAAACCAACTACTCCAAATCTCACATGGCTCACTTATTTGACAACGGCAAAATAATGCTGAGAATCAATTTTCAGCACTAGGAGAATCCGTATTTCTCAAAATTTCCTCCATCATATAGTGGACGATCTCCCGTGTGGTTCCGCGTCACCGTTTCACTGAAAGTGAAGAGGTAGCTCTCTTTCAGAAAAACACTGTTTTTTGGAGGACAGTGCTTAAAACTTTCTTTCGAGTTTCCTTTGTCACATTTAACATTTTAATTGATTCATCAATTGGCAAACAGTAGAGAATTGAGACAAGTGTGAGACTCAAAAATGGAGGACTGGAGATGGACTGGAGTCCCAGTTTGAGGACTTTCTTCAAAAGAAACCCATTTTGGTGTCAATAGAACCGTTTCACTGCAAGTGAAGTGAAGAGTTGACACATTTCTTGATAAATCACACTAAAAATGAAATCAAGGATGAAAGCATCAACCCATTTCAAATTTTCAAGTTCATTTGTGCATCCCCTAGTGGGGACGCGTTCCAAAATTTTTTCGAAACACTGTTGGAAGGTCTCGGGGTTAATGCTAACCTCAAACTTGGGTAATTAAACCGAAGAACGGGGTCTCTGTCGCGCTATGTGGACGAGCCGTGTGCCAGATGCCGCTTTTCCCTACGAGACACACGAATGGTACACACAGTCGGGTCGTCTCGCGTCTCTGCGAGGGCTGTGTCTCTGCGATCCCACCGTTTCAGATCTAGAGCTAAAAGACGGGGGTTTTGGTTTTGGTTGCTACAGATCTACCTGAAATCGAATCGTTTTATGAAATGGCAAGCTTTGCTTCCTGTTTTGAAATAAAATTAAAAAATTAAAATGCCCCAAACTCTAGCTTTACTGTTTTAATAAAAAGATTAAAATAAAGATACAAATTTTACAAGCACATATTTTTTAACTAACCTGCAACTTGTCGATCCGATCCCCAGGTAAAATTCCAACTTATCTTTACGACGACGATTCGATTTCCACAAAGGTCTGCTGGTTTAAATCGTTGGGCTGACGGAATCGATTTTGATTTTTCAAAATTGTTGTGACTCGTGACACGATGTTTTGCTCCCGAGGGTTTTCAGCTATGGGGAATCTGACTTTTAGGTTCATTTTTAAAAAGGGGCCGGGCTCAACGTCTAAATTGGGTTCCGCGCCTCTTCAGTGGGAAACGCGAACGAAGTGAGCTGGTTTTAAATATAACAAAATACTTGCAAGTAATTAGCCAACGGCGCAAAGCCTAAAAGCTAGTCCAATTAATCAATCATAATCATCAAAATTAGAGTCGAAATTCACTATTACTGCTAGAGAAAAAGTAACTACTTGAACTGGAAAAGTTTACAGTTTACATAGATGTGGTGGCCGTTAACTTGAGTGCACTTCGATAACCATACGACGTTGCTTTCGTTGCTCCGACGTTCGTTCCATTCGTTGCATCGGTTCCATTCGTTGCATCCGTTCCATCGGTGCTCCAACGACGTTGACCAAATCCTATTTCTAAAGAGAACATTGTTCAATGAAAACAAGCAAAAAAACCTCAAGTATTTTTGACTCAAGCTGATCATCAGAGAGTTTCGTGGGGTCCGCGGTACAATTCTTTGACGGCTCGAGTTTTTCCAGAATATTCCGTAAAAACTAGAAAAAAAATTAACTAGCTAAACAAAGAAATTGTACCTAAACACTTTTTTAGAAGAAACGGAACTGGCCGGTGAAGAGAAATACAGGACAACAGTGCGATAAAGGCTAAAAGAACAACTTTTTGATTAAGTAAAATAACCAACTCTTGAAACCTTTCGTGGTGTTCGTACCACCAGCCATAGGTGTCAACATTTGCCACTAGCCGCTTTTCTTGTGTGCTTAACTGTAGATAATCACAAATCTCTGCTTAAAAAACTTTAATACGTCTTTTTCAACACGCTAAAACAACCTCGAATGTTGAGTTTTCTTGTTTCTTCTTTTTTTTGGTGTTGGTTCAACGTTCAACGTTTTCTGAAAGCACTTGGACAACTCTTAAAAGCTGTTTGGTCGATGAACACGGTACACGACTTTCCCAGCGTAATAATATTTTTGTTTTTAAGCATTCGAGTGGGTCAAATCCACCAAAATCATTATCATCCTTTTTCAGATTTTCTATTTTCTACGGCTTTAGGCTTTTCTAAAAATAAAAACATTAACACGCTGGAAAAGTTGTGTACCGTGTTCATCGACCAATCAGTTTTTAAGAGTTGCCCAAGTGCTTTCAGGAAACGTCAGAATATCCAGGATCAAAGCAAACAATCTCTTGAAGAATTTTTCGCTGACTTCTTCAAAGCCAGCATTGATTTTTGTCGTAAAAACATCACAAGCATTTGCCAGTTGAACGTCGTCAACCTATTTGAGTTTAGTATTAGAGTAAAGTTTAATACAACTCACCGATTGCTCATAACCTCTAGCGTCTTTAGAAGATGAATGATAGGAAATGAGGCCTCGCTTGACATCTTAATTTATCAAATTGAAAATATAGAACTAAAGTGTTTACCTTTTGGACTCGACTCGTGGTCCATGTCTACTTTACAATATAAAACTTACAAGATCAATGTGTTGGGTAGAAGATTTTTTGGATTAGAGCTTCAAAAAGGATTCAAAGTGATCGAATTGCTGATTTTGAGATTTGTAGACAGGGAAATCCGTTCCAAAAGGGGAATTTTCTAAAAACAAAAACATTAACACGCTGGAAAAGTTGTGTACCGTGTTCATCGACCGATCAGTTTGGTAATATTGGGTTGGGGAGAATGAGTCGGCGCCCAACTTTAAAGGGACTTTTTGCACACATAAAGCCTTTTTTAAACATACGTTTGGTTTCATCAAAAGGATCCACTATTTCTCTACAAAATCACTTTTGAGAGATTCCACAAAGCTTTTCTTTCGTGGAGTTTATGAACTTCCAAAAGCAGCTGGTTAAAATGGCAAAGAGTCCGACTCATCATTTGAACAGTTTCTTTCACATAAACCTTCTTTGGTGTTTATATAAAAAAGATAGAGCACATTGAATTACTTAAGTTGCCAAATTTGCAGGAAGATTCCACCAATGGTTTTTTCTAGATGACAGTTTGTAGTTTTTGTGAAAAAATGGCTTTTTCTTGAGCGGAGGCGCTGTTTGAATTTTCTTTTAAATGTGATTTTGTAGAGAATTAGTTAACCATTCTACTCATATCAAACGCATATTATTTGACGAAGTCGAATAGAAGTTTTAGACATTTGTTTGATTTTCGGCGCCGACTCATTCTCCCGAACCCAATAATTTTCCAAGTGCTTTCAGGAAACGTCGGAATATCCATCGGAATACCCAAAATTCCTCGAAACACTTTATTTTCCACATTTTACCGCCATTTCAGCTAGAATTTTCGAAATTCTTCAAAAGGAAAAGAAATACTCGAAATTTCACAAATCTCACTCATTTGAAAACGACAAAATGATGTTGGAAATGAATTGTTCAGCACTAGGAGAACCCCGTATTTCTCAGTTCAGAGTTCAGAGATGACTCCAGAATTTCATAAACTTTAACCTAAATTTTCTCTATTGTTTTCCTTTCATTTTCCTATTGCTTTTCTTGTTTAGTTTCATTCGTTCACTTTGGAGTTTTGTAGGGAAAGAAATGATAAGAATTGCAAAAAGGAAAAAAGAAAAGAGACTTCTGATCTGAAGGGGGAAAGTAGAAGCTACAAAAAAAAGGGGTAAAAAGAAAAGAAAACTCACGTGATAAGCCTTTTTCCCTCGTTTCTACTCTTTCCCCATCAAGTCAGAGTGGCCAAGAACCCCTAGAAGACTAGAGAAGTTTTGATTTTAAAACCCAAACTCTTTTCATAATACTTTCTTTCATGATGCTTATTCTGAAGATGATTTCATTTTTAAATTTGTTTGTAAAAATTTCGAAGAGTTTCCCTCCAATTTTCTCTTGTCGTCTTGCGTACTTTGTGCTCTCGTTCAAACGCCTGACTCTGGTGCAATTAGTATTTTATTTTTCTTAAGGACCAAAATCTAGTTAAGAGATAAATGAGGAATTTGATAGGCTAAAAAAAAGATTTGTTTATACTTAAGTATAATAAAGAACGCCAGAAGTACAATAAAGAACACCAGAAGAGTCTAGAGAATCATTCTAGAGAAGTCCAATCACAACCAAAGTGAATGAGTCCAATCACAGCCAAAGTGTTGTGCTCGAGATTGAGCGGAAAAATGTACTTGTACAACTCGACCTGAACAATCGTTAGATATTCGTTTATTCCCAGAATATTGAGCACTTGAGCAAGTATAAAGAAGAATATAAAGAAGAATGTAATATATAATATAATATAATATAAAGAATATGTATGTTATATTCTTTATATTATATTATATTCTATATTACAAAGAATATAATATACAATATAATATATAATATAATATTAGGTTGATGCATAAGTCTTTTCGTTTTTTTTCGTACTTCTATTAAAAAGTAACAAATTCACCAATTAATCTATAGTTTGCTCTATAAAAAAAGTGTTTTTTTGTTCAATTTGCATCTTTTTAAATGAATTTCGGTTCACTTTCAAGCAAATTCGAGAGTGAAAAACGCCTTTTTCTATAAAAATCTATAAAAAACTCTACGGAAAAATTGGCTGAATGAATTTCTCTGAAATTTTGGCGAAATATCAAACGTTTTTTTTCTCTATCTTTTATCTATTGACACGAAGATAGGTTTTCTTTAGCTAAGGTGTCTAAACCGCATCATCGAGTTAGCCCTTTTTGACTACCCGACTTCATACTCTCAAGAAAATCCAGGCATTCAATATTTTTAAACCCGTTTTAATGTTATTTTGCAGAAAAATAATTGCTTTTTCTAATGAAATCAACCGTAGTTTAATTCGTGCATTTGTTGGCTTGAAACGGCAGACGAAAAGGAACGAAAAAACTTATGCGTCAACCTAATAATATATTATAAATTTAACAGTCGATAACTCCGAAGTCCGAGCTCATTTTTCACTATCGATTGAACCGAGAAACGCAAAATTTGAAGCTGTTTTGCCATCTTGTTCAAACTACGATCGTCTTTTCGCTCGACCCTCCTCTTGATGATCCCACACATCTTTCGGGTGTTAACGGTCCTCTTTCGTCTTCTTCCGCGCTTCGACTGAACATGCCCCTCATCTTTCCATTGCTTTACGATCTTCTGGACGCTTTACGATCCTCAGAGCCACCCCAAGCCTCGATGCGATCGACGAGTTCTTCATGCCGCTCGTCGCCAGCTGTGCGATTGCGTTCCGACTAGCGCACGTCTTTGTCATGACCTAGAAAACAACTTTTTAAACAAAAAATTAATAGACAACGATAAAAAGAATATTAAAACACAAAAAGATGAGTAGTAATGCTTTATACATTGTTTAAAACTATGATGCTGATGCTGCGCGCACGTAATTTTCAGCCACCCTGTAATAGAATATAATATCTACGCCAGAAGAGGCAATATTCGTTTCCTTTTCCGTACTTTGTACTTAAGAATCTAAACTCAACCCATCTAGTGCACTGCATTCTTCAGTTTTCTTTTAAATTACAGAAAAATGAAGCATTTTATGCGCCAATCGGGGTGTGTTGTGAGCACAAAGTACAAGATCGAGTTCAACGAGTTCACGTTCTTTTAGAAACTCTCATACAAAGAAAATCAAAACATTTACCGTATTTACTCGAATAGAAGACCGGTCTTCTATTTTTTCGATCATCCCCTAGACCCCGTCTTCTATTCGAGACGGTCTTATAATCGAGGCCGGTCTTCTATTCGAGTAAATACGGTAACTATTTTTAAACTTTCAAATAATTATTTTCTTATTTTACCTTTATTTTTATCATTTTTTAAACTTAAATATTGAATTTTCTTTGATCAGAATACTCCTTTCACAAGCCGACCATTTCCCCCCTTTTCTTTTCCCCTATTCAAAAAGAAAAACGGATTATAAAGGAAAAAAAGACGAGATCGACAGTGGTCAGTGTAATCTTCTTTCCGACAATATTTCCTCCTTCACACTCTTCACTTTTTTTTGCCATATCTGATTTTGAATAGACAAATAGACAAATAGACAAAATATAATCTCTCTGTAGATCTCATTGAACTTTTTTTTTCATTAGGAAATCTTCATTTTATCTTTAAACTTTACTTGTTCCTTGTAAATTGACATTTACAGATTCGAAAGCTTGACATGGGTGCCACAAAGAAAGTCTGTGTGATCGGAGCCGGAGCTAGTGGATTGCCTGCAATTCGGTGATTACTATTTGCTATCGCTTCAACTGACTCTCACATTTCATTCTACTACTATCTAGAATAGTTCTATCTTACGTGTACCAATCTTGTCTAGTTTTTGAAATCATATTTTGATTCTAAACACATTAAAGAATTGTTTGAAATTAAGGGAAACTTTTCTAGAAAGCTTTGGGTTTTAGATTTTCGATTTTAAATTCAAATTGCAAGCAAAACTTGGATGCAAATTCGCTACAAATGATTCAGACGAATTGCACAGATCTAAGCTTTATTTTATAGAGGTTTATAGATAAAAAAGTTGGATGTAATGCTATGTTTCATAGCTTGTTAAACTTTCAGTCATGCTCTGCTCTACAAATGTGATGTCGTTTGTTTCGAGGGAGCACACGCGATCGGAGGATTGTGGAGATATAAACCAGAAGAGACTGATGGTTGGAAACTTATTCGCTATTTTAGATTTTACTTTGTATCCAAACGCACCTTTTCTCGTGAACTCAACTCTTTCTCATGACTTTGATTTACTTTCGCAAATTGATCAGCGATCAGCGTAGTTGTTGATCAACGTAGTTGTTGAAGTATCTGAAAATTGAGGTCATCGTTAGAAGCTGAGGTTTTTAAAGGATTGTAGTCATTTGTTTAAGTAGTTCTAGTCAAATCAATTCTCAAGGCACTCACTGCAAAAGCTGAGAATTTTGCATGAAATTGGCCGCAAGTAAATGAAGATTTTCCGAGATTTCGTGAAGAAAAAGATGACTTTTAAGATGAATATCGTATTAAGATGAAGGCTAAAATGAATATCGTATTTGAAAATCACTTTTAGAGGGAACTGTGATGAAAACGACAGTGATCAACACATCAAAGGAAATGACCGCCTATTCGGATTTCCCTCCATCGCCCGAAGCCGCCAATTTCATGCACAACTCTCAGCTTTTGCAGTGAGTGTCTTGAGAATTGATTTGACTAGAACTACTTAAACAAATGACTACAATCCTTTAAAAATCTCACCTCCTAACGATTCAATCCTAACGAACAATTTTCAGATACTTCAACAACTACGCTGATCATTTCAATTTGCGAAAGTACATCAAATTCAATCACAAGGTATTCTTTGTCTATTATTTATTCTATTCTATATCTATTCTATTCTCAAAAACAAATCAAAACCAGGTACTCAACGTTGAGAGAAACGAGGATTACGCGAAGACGGGTCGCTGGAAAATCACCTACAAGAATGAGTGAGGGTTACGGTAGAAGATCGTATTTCAGAGTTTAGCCAAGGAGAGACGAAAGTCGATGTTTTTGATGGGGTTCTCTGTTGTACGGGACATCACACAACTCCTTACACTCCGGCTCCGTGGCCTGGACAAGACAAGTAACGAATTTGCATAAACACAACCTGCCTGGCACACTTGTAATTTAACACTTATTTAAGTATAACATGTACTTCCTTTTAAGCATAACATGTACTTCCTTTCAAGTATAACATGTACTTCCTTTTAAGTGTAACATGTACTTTCTTTCAAGTATAACATGTACTTTCTTTTAAGTATAACATGTACTTTCTTTTAAGTATAACATGTACTTCCTTTTCAGATTCTCCGGCAAGATCATTCACTCTCATTCCTACAAAGATCATCGAGGTGAGTGAAAAGTTCAGTGATAATTTATGAATTTTATTTGGTAGTGATTCTGGATTTGTTTTAGGATATGAGGACAAAACCGTTGTCGTTGTTGGGATCGGCAACTCGGGCGGCGATATTGCGGTCGAGCTTTCGAGAATCGCGAAACAGGTAGAGGAAGTTAAAACCCATTAAGACAGCATTAAGCACAACGCCTACTGAATAAAGTTGATTGATTTTTACGAGGATTGCTTCCTCTCCAATCCTTGAAATGGGCTTTGAACTCAAATCTTTGAATTCCAATGTTTGAACTCAAATCTTTAAACTCAAATCTTTGAACTGAATCCAATCTTTGAGATACTTTCTCTCTAATATTTCTCCCTCGATCGTAATATCTGATCAACAATCGACAAAATGATCCCAAATTGATGTGCTGACTGTGCAGACAATCAACTTGAAAACAATAGTTTTATTCAACGTGCAACAAGTGTTTTCCTTTTAATGAATGGAAAAAAAAGGACGTGAAATTCTGGTAATAAACATAGATTAAACAACGTTAAAGATATTCAGTTAACGGGCTAAATGTTCTATAACGAAAATTGGCAATACAAAACGTTATTTTGAAAGAATCGATGAAAAGAATTGGCTGTTTTGATTTCCAAATTTAAATTTTGGATTGGATAGTCGGTACACAACGAACTGTACAGAAATTTATGTACAATAAGTCCATAAAGCCACAGGACTTGGGCCTTCTTTTAGTCGGCTAAAAGAAGGTCCAAGTCCTGTGGCTTTATGGACTTTTTGTGAGTCAAATCAAGCAAGGTTGGTTCGAGAAAATTTAACAAACCTTATCAAAAGTTTCTGGTGCTCTTTTCACTTTTCACAACTTTTCAATAATGATAATGCTTTCTTTTTCTTCAGGTTTATCTTGTCACTCGTCGCGGCACTTGGGTTTTCAATCGAATTTTCGATTACGGTGAACCGTTCGACTTTGTGGTGAACACTCGATTCGCCCATGCTCTTCGCGGCTATGTGCCTATGCAATTGGCCACTTGGATGATCGAGTACAAATTGCAGGTGTAAATTGATCTCTATATTATCAGATAGCTCAGTGATTAGAGCAATTGCCCGGAAAGTCAAAAGTCGAGGGTTTAATCCCCTCTCTGGGAAATCTACTTTTTCTTGCCAATTTCTTCACTTCTTTATTACAAAGAAAGGAAGTTGCTATAAAGGAAGTTGCTATAAAGGAAGTTGCTAAAAAAGAAGTTGCTATAAAGGAAGTTGCTAAAAAAGAAGTTGCTATAAAGGAAGTTGCTATAAAGAAAGTTGCTATAAAGGAAGTTGATTAGCATAGAAATCTTAATTGCTATCAAATTGCTATCAAATTGCTATCAAATTACCATCAAATTGCCATCAAATAACGATCAAAGACTCCAAATCGAAAAGAACGATTTCTCTTTATGTTTTAAGAACAGATTTGTATCATTTAATTGAAAAGTATCAGAAAAAAATGAATTCAAAAACCCCAAACGTTTAGTCTCGTTTCGATCACGAAAAGTACGGCCTTAAACCGGCGCACCACGTTTTCAGGTGAGTAAAAACCGTTCAGATTTGCAGATTTTGCTAAGGGCATTTTAGAATTTAAAGACTAAACAATATTCGATTAAAAGCGATTTGCATTTCCATCAATGATCACTAAAAATTCCAATATCTTTACTGCAGCGCTCATCCAACAGTCAACGACGAATTGCCCAATCGGATCGCGTGCGGAATGGTGCGAGTGAAGCCGAATATGAAAGAGTTCAAAGTCCGTTTTTAAAATTGATTTTTTTAATTTCAATCAAGTTTTAGGGCAATTCAATCATTTTCGAGGATGGCACAAGTGTGGAGAATATTGATGAAGTGAGGGGATCATCGTAAAAAGATGATCGTAAAGATGATCGTAACAAAAGCTGCTTTAGGTTATCCTTTCCACCGGCTACTCATTCTCTTTCCCGGTGCTCGAGCAAGGGAAATTAATCCCAGTCACGGAAAATGAGGTTTATTAAGATAGAAATTGATTGTAAATCATTGTAAATGATTGTAAATTGATAAAAATCGGTTTTGAAAACTAAAAATGCATCTTATTTCACATATCTAAATGGTATGTCGTTTTTGTTTTCCTCTAACGATTGTTCAGGTCGAGTTGTACAAGTACATGTTCCCGCTCAATCTCGAGCACAACACTTTGGCTGTGATTGGACTCATTCAGGTAATTCTCTAGACTGACTCAATATTGTTTGTTCTTCTGTTCATTTGTGAGCCTTTCACATTAAAAGTTCATCATTTCAGCCCCTCGGCTCAATCATGCCGATCTCCGAGATGCAGGCCAGAGTTTTCCTATCAACCCTCGTCGGCGGTAAGTGCCAAGAAGCAGAAACATGTAAACTTCACCAGGGTTTTTCTAAAAGCCAGAAAAAATCAATAATCATAATCCTGATCTGCTCTGATCCTAGCTGCTTCGAATCAAAACACATTGGCGGTCCGGAAATCGAAATTCGTGTACTTTGAAGGAAATTTCCCTTGAAAGACAAAAAATTGGGCAAAAAATTAGTACGAGCATCGAATCTTGAACCTCTAGCAGCCAAAGGCAGAGTCATACCACTAGACTAACCAGCCGTGGGATCCTGGTTGATATTTCGCTACATCAAGAGCATTCAGAATCCCAATTGCCCAGCCGAAAAGAAATGCGCGAGGACATTGCATGCAAACAAAAGCGAATGGCCGGACAATTTGTGAAAAGTCGACGACATACCATTCAGGTATTTGAAATTTGAATTTTTAGTTGCAAACCTTTTGTCAATTTGTCAATAGGTCGATTTCACACCCTACATGGACGAGTTGGCTTCGCTGATCGGCGTTGAGTTGGACCTGAAAAAGATGTTCTTCGAAGACCCGGGATTGGCGATGAAGGTGGGAATGAAAATTGGGTTTTAAATTCCCCAAAACTCTAAACTTTGGGTCTTTGGACCAAAACAAAACAGTTCCTTTGCCAACCAGGTGATCTTGTAAATTGCATACTGTAAAGCTCCGAGAATAAAGAAAATGAAGTTGGAAATTCAAATCGATTTACCCTTGTGCAAAAATGGATTCCCAAGTCTCAAAACCGATCAACAAAAAGCAAAAAGCTTACGGCACTCGGGATTCCCAAGCCGTCTCCGATCCAAGTACTAACCGAGCCCAACGTTGCTTAACTTGGCAGATCGGACGGGATGCCGTGTTTTCAACGTGGTATGGTCGATTGAAAGGCTGTGAGAGACGGCTGAAATAGGCGGTCGCGAACACGAGAGAGCATCAGCCCTCGCAGAGACGCGAGACGACACGACTGTGTGTACCTTTCGAGTGTTTCGTAGGGAAAAGCGGCATCTGGCACATGGCTCGTCTAGATGAGGCGACAGAGATCCCACTCTTCGGTTTAATTACCCAAGTTTGAGGTTAGCATTAACCCCGAGACCTTCAAACAGTGTCTCGAAAAAATTTTGGAACACGTCCCTGCCTGGGGATGCACAAATGAGCTCGAAAATGTAAAATGGGTTAAAGCTTTGATGCTTTATTTCATCTTTTATCAAGAAACATGTCAACTCTTTACTTCACTTTCAGTGAAACGGTGGCACGGAACCACACGGGAGATCGTCCAAAAATCTTTCTTCAAAAAATCAAAAACAAAAACAAAAAGTCGGGCCAGTCCGGGGATTGAACCCGGGACCTCTCGCACCCTAAGCGAGAATCATACCACTAGACCAACTGGCCGTGAGTCGTGTGGCTAAAATCGGGGTTATGTTTCGAGCGCTTCGCATTGCTGTGGAGAAAAGCCGGTTTGATCGATCGTACATAAAAAGTGGTGGTAGAAAGGAAAGACTTTAGTGTTATCGTTAGAGTTCACTTTGGGCAAATCGACTTTTTTGAAGTTTTCAAAACGAAACCAAAGAAAGAGTCAAGAGTAGGCTGGTCCGGGATTAAAGGGTCTAATTGAAGCGTGCAATCTCAGTGAAATTAAAAATTTCCCTTTCTTTGGTTTTTCTTTAGTCATTTTAAAGATATTCACCTAATAAAGAGAAAGGCTATAAAATTTCCTTTATTTTAGGTTCTTTTCGGGCCAAATGTCGCGTACACTTACCGTTTACAAGGACCACACAAATGGCAAGGGGCAAGAGAAGCGATTATGTCAGCACAAGAGAGAGTGATCAAGGTTTGAGAAGATGAAATGAAAGATGAAATGAAATTAGCATAGGTCATTGAATAAATTACTCACTTGCTTACGGTATTTTTTTGAGACTTTTGAATATTCGAATATTGAATAATGAATTGAAAATTTGAATTGAATTATTTGAATTCGAGTTATTACTTTAAAATGCATAAAAAATAGTGAAAATAGCCGAAAAGGTTTACTGTTTTACTGAAGTGGTTTACTAAAGGTTTACTGCTTACTAGTTTACTCTCAGCTGATCTAAAGTGCATTTTTTACAGGCAACTCGTTTTTAAAAGATAGATAATTGAAAAAGCTACCTTAATCCCTGTAGTACAGTGATGCCACTGTTTCCTTAGATTTTGTCCATTCTTATTACTTTTTTTTCGATTCACAGCTTGATTCCTCATTAAATAAGATCAAAAATGAAGTAAATCAGATAAAAACTGAAGAAAAGATTACAATAACTTTGCAAATGATCGATTTCAAATTTCAAACTCTCCTTATTCAAATGAATCGTTTTCCAGGCGACAAATATGTCCTATCGTCCATCTTTCGTCGGCAATTTGGTCAATTTCAACCCATTGATTCTCATCTTTTTAGCATTAACTCTTGCTTTTGTTCTTGTTTTTTAAGAGTTTCAAATTATTTATTACATTGTGCAATAAATCGGGATACAAAAATTGGCACAAAGCTGGAGATATGCAAGGCATCTAATGCACTTAAAAAAGGATAAGCTCTCGTTTAAACTCTAGTTGATAAAGAACAATTTGGCAGAATATTTATCGTACTATATTTAGAGAAAAAGAGAATATTTAAATTTACAACTAAACTCGAGTTTCAAGTGTTGGAGTACCCTTTGTGCCGGAAACGGAAACGCACCCTTTCTGGTGCACTCCTTCTTTAATGATTTTCATTTTTCTTGCTGTTTATTGTACAAAAATGAAGCATTGAGTGCACTAGAAAGGGTGCGTTTCCGTTTTCGAGCACAAAGTACGCAGCTTATTGTGTGGATGTGGGCAAGCTGTTCGTTTGAGCCGCTGCTCCTCCATCCGAACCAACCACAAACGCTTTCGGAATACTGTCTCCATAATAAATCTTGTTGTTCTCCTTGATTGCCTCGATTTTCTTCAAGTCGAGGAATTGACTGAAAAGGGTTTGGTAAAAATTCGGCTATATGATTTATACCGTCAATTGCATCTGACTATCTACTAGACATGGGCAGCGGGTCGGGTCAAAAGTGACCCGCTGACCCGACCCGGCTTTGTTGGACTAATGCCAACTATATTTTCTAAACTGCGATGAACATGGCACTATAAACTACAAAAATGACGATCTGTCACACAACAAAAACTTGGCTTCAAATCTGTCACTCTAACTGGCTTCAAATCTGTCACATCGATATGAACTATAACTCAAAAAAATAGAGAATCTCAAGTGCTTTTGGATGGACTAAAGTACATCCAAAAATATCATTGCTAAAGAAAGTTAAAGTTTTTGGTCCTGTCGAAACGGACCGTACTCGCACGAAGTTGAAACAATCGAGCCAGAATACAAACCACTATAACTTTCTTTAGCATTGATATTTTTGGATGTACATGAGTTCATTCGAAAGCACTTGAGATTCTCTATTTTTGAGCCATAGTTCATGTCAATGCAACAGATTTGAAGCCAGTTAGAAGCGTTTGTAATTTACGTTTGTAGTTTGTAGCGTCAATGTCTAAACTGCGACCTCCCATTTTCTTGACTGAATACTTTATGCTTAGTTTATAAAGGCTGCGATGCTCTCTCACATTCATTTATCATTTTTTTTGCGTTCATGAAAATTATTTTTATTGTTAATTTGGCTTTTTTTATTTCACTAAACTTCATTTTTTTAGCAATGTCCTCAATTGCCCGATCGTTTTTCGCAAGAATTGGCGACGAAGATGTGTGTAACCTCTGCAACACCAAATACAAAAGAGGCAAAAAAGGCGGTACGAAAAACCTCAACGATCATCTCAACAACAAACACAAGGAAATATTTGAGGAGACCAAAACAAAGTAAGTTTTAGTATTAAATGCTCTCAAACTTCTGTTTTTAGGCAGGCTAAAGAAATGCCAAGAATTTTGCCTGTTACAACCTTCTGTGCTAAGGAAAAGCAAATAGAAACGATTGATGCGGTTAGCCTTAAAATAGCCGAGTTTTTTTGCAGCAATAACATACCCTTTAGCGTTGTATGTTTTTATAGAATTACAATTTCAAAGAAAATTTTAGGTTGAAAGCAAAAGCCGAAAAAGCGCTCATTCATCGCGAGAACCAGATGATTGTCCGATTCAAATTCTCGGCTCTGACGGAAATGTGATCACGGTTTGTTTGGGATAAATATATCGATTGGAAATATTGACTTTTCGGCACCAATTTAACTTTTATTGGCTCTCTATGTTGCCGTAGCACAAAAATTACGCTTATCAAGGCGGAAATGCCGATTTGTAGCAAAACTTCAGTATTAGAGGAGTGCAGGCTCACATTGGGACTCGGATTTTAACGGAGTCTGCCATATCTTCATTTTTATCATTGTTTGAGAAAAGTGGAAAAGAATCTAACGCTGAGATGGTTTTCGCCCTCTCTGGCAGAAGGCTTCTAAAAATTTTGAGCCACACCGCGGGGGAGCTACGGAGCGGATGAGTTCGGTGCGATTCCCGCCGGTATCTATCGGGGCGGCGTGCCAGGCGGCGTGCGATTGTGAGCCCCCACAAAGAACACCTCGCGCCAATCTCGGAGGCTTTACAAGCTGGGTATTAACGATATGGAAATGCTCAGATATGTTTCTTAAAATATCTGCATGCTCTAAATCTCGATAAATCTTGGAATATAAGAGAAATTTGATCGTTTTAAGAAGATATCAAGTTCACTTTGATGCCATCTATTTCTAGGTCCCCTCATCAATCTTAATCCAGGCCGGGATCAACATCCGCGACTCTGAAGAGCTCACACATCAACAGGTGCCAGTTTAAGTTTAATTGATTTAGTTTAATTGATTAAGATGAATTGAGTACTAGAGGCAGGATTACGGTAATTTTTTGGCTCTTTCTGACTCTTTTTGACTCTAATATGATAGTGGGGAATTTTAGGTGACAAATGTTTTGAGTTTGATGAACGCCGATCAATCCGAGCTTCATCAAATCAATCATCAAAGCACGTCAGCTGATGAGAGAACAAGTATTCCATTTATTCATAACATTTTACTACTTTAAGGATTTGTGAATGAAATTAGAATTACAGTCAAAGCGCAAAGCTCAAAGCTCAAAGCTGGCTTGTCTAGCCATGAGTTTTCGTCTTTTTTCGAACAACTCTAAACACAAATTCAAGTTAAAAATTATCAAGTTAAAAAAAAGCTATAAAACAAAAACAAAACACCAACCTGCAGCATAACATTCTTTACGAGAAAGCTGCCTCTTCGTTTCTTCAAGGGGGCGAAGCCAGCCGGATGCAACTCATACTCGCGATTGGCGACGACGGGAGAATGTGTAAAACGATAGAAGTTGCCACTCTGAGGATGAGTAATCTCCAAATATGCTCCGGTGAAGGAGATCACGAAAGCCTGACGTGGGTTTTCGATAAACATGAAGATTGGACGTTCAGAGAGCGCATTCATCTAGATCAAGAATGAAATTCAAATGAAAAAACGAATCGGTGATATTTCTAATATCATAAGAATAAAAAAAATCAGTTCAAAAATCAAAAACACGCGAAAAATCAGAGAAAACAAGGATCGACCACCCTTTCGATTCGATTGATCTTTAAAATCGCATATTAAAATGAAATTTAAAAATTGAAAGAAAGATAAATACACATTAAAGATATTCAATGAACTAGGATAGAATCTTTTAAGTATTTGCCCCGAAGTTATTGTTTCGGGAAATTTTTTTTCAATCGACAAGATTCAACCTATCACTATTTTCGGATAAAGTTTTCATTTTTTGATATCGGTAATTCGTGAGGGAGGTGCGTAAGAAGGTCATTCGGCGATCTCATGTCACAAGGTTTAAACTGTGAATTGCGTACGCCATGCGTTTTGGCAAGGTCACCACTATTAATAGCGATAATTAATATAAGTGGTGACTAGTACTATGAGTGAAAATGGATATTACTATTGGAATTCATGAACAACAGTGTAAAGCTTATCATTTTTCACAATTATTATCACATAATTCTCATTTGTATTTCTTTTTTCGTTTATGATCATCCTGTTTTTCTCCATGCTGGATAAATGCTTAACTTTATTATTTAGTTCTGCTATGAAGCGACCTGAACTTCGTTTCTTGAAGGATTTCGACTCTTTCACCGTGGAACGGGATCATTTGGAAGTGGTTTATGGAACCAAAACCTTTTGTTTTGGTTACGCGACCGTTTACGAAGAACGAAAATTCTCAACAAAGCCTTTGGGTAGCACTCAGCTCTATTTACCGAAAATGCTGCTTCAGGTTGCTTTTTCTATTTCACTATCTCATACTACAAAATTGATAATGAAGGTGCTAATATGGTTCATCAGGCAGGATAAGATAACCGTTAGAGAGGTGTGACAAGCGTAACCCATAGGAAAACTTGTATTTTCCACTTCCAAATGATTTCGTTCAATTAGATTAGATGAAAATTTGAAGATGATTTCATTGTAAACTTTCAGTACCACATACAAGGTGTTTGGCATGAAATTCCTGTGAATGTCTCTGCGAAGTTCGGAGATGTGCTGATGTTCGCTCAATTTGTGCTGAAACTTTCAAGCGTTGCTGGCTATCAGCAGGTTCAGTTTTGAAATTATTTATGTGCAAAGTTTCGGAGTTATCTTGATCTGAATCTGATTTTGATCTGAATCACGTTCAACGTGCTTGACGAAATCAACTTTTGGTTACGTTTAGACAAATGCGACTTCTGAATCGGAAGACGACGATACAACTGAGGAGGAATTGGAGGAAGATGAGGACGACGACGAAGATGAGGACGACTTGGATGAAAACCTGCAATCGCCTCGTCCAATCTTCATGTTTATCGAAAACCCACGTCAGGCTTTCGTTGTCTCCTTCACCGGAGCATATTTGGAGATTACTCATCCTCAGAGTGGCAACTTCTATCGTTTCACACATTCTCCCGTCGTCGCCAATCGCGAGTATGAGTTGCATCCGGCTGGCTTCGCCCCCTTGAAGAAAGGAAGAGGCAGCTATCTCGTAAAGAATGTTATGCTGCAGGTTGGTGTTTTGTTTTTGTTTGATAGCTTTTTTTTAACTTGATAGACTTGAGTTCTTAAATCATACTTTACTGTGGTGAACTTTTGTGACCTACCAACCAATACAACCAGCAAAACGGTGGACGGGTGTTCCAGGGACAAGGAGGCGGTGCTGCGGCGGGCGCGTTTGTGGACCTGGCTGAAGTGGATGTGTTTCTTGATTTGGAAGATGATAGTTCGTTGCGCGTTATCATGCAGGGCCTGGGCGTGAACCAGCATGGTTATGTAAAGCGCAATTAGCCGAGTTTTATGGTATGTTTCATCTTTTAAATTTGGATAACTGAAATAGCCTAAGTATCATAGCTCAAATCACATTGCATAGCTATAGCAGATCATTATCTGACTCATATGAGTCTTTTTTTATGCTGAAACTATTGTGCTGAAAAACTCTTAACGATTGAATCTTTCGGTTCATTTTGGGTTATGAAGCTATTAAATTTAGAATCTCAAATTTTGCTAAAATACTTTCATCATTTGGCAAATCAATTGGGAAATGACAGAACGTTATTTCCAATAGAAAATTGAAAAGCCATATATTAGATATATTTTAAATAATTAGAACTATTTGAATTTTTCAGGTCGCTTTATGGTCTCTTTATCCATCTGTAGCATCAAAGCCTCGGCCTTGTTCTTCAAACAAAACGCACAGATCTTTTTTTCTAATCACCCTCATAAAGGGGGATTTATGTTGTTTGTTTTTCATTTTAATCCCAGAGATCTGGGCATAAATTTTTATGTTCCATCTTTAAAAACCACATTTTATTAAAATCATTTACAAAGATATGATAAATTGAAAAGGAAACGGTCAAGCTGCTTTTAAACAATCAAAACTTACAATAAAGAAGTGAAAGTATACTATTTCATTGGTTTCGATGGTTTTGAGAGCTCCGATATTTGCTCATCATTCCCCCAAAATACTCCCATAACTCGCCCAACATTCGCCAATAGTCACCAATATTCGTTCTCTCGTCCACCTCTACCCTCTACCTCTTCTCTGCTTGTCGAATCATTGTGCTTTGAAAAATGAAATAATAAATATTTAAAGAAAAAATTTATCACCAAAACAAGACAACAGTGGGACAAAACAACAAAAATTAACCATAGTTAACAAGAGGGCAAAAAAAATGCTTGATTGGTGGTTGCTTTCAAACAGAGCCACATTTGGTAGTAGATCATGAGAATGGAACGAACAAAAGGAAATCTGAAAAATTAAAAATTTTTAATTATCCTAGCGTATGTCAATAGCTATAATGTCTTTTCATTGATTTTTTTTCAAGGCAGAACTTCTTCAAAGATGATTGCTTAATTAAATCTAAATGAGGATTTAACATTCGGCTCTCCTGCATTTGACACCTCCCAACGAAAAGGGGCTGCATTTCGCACCCCCAAAAACATCTGCTCTCCGCCCATCCTGGTTTTTCCTTCGTAACTTCTGTTCTAGCTAAGCAATATCGCCCAACTCTATGTCATAGGATAGAACAAAAAATTCTCTTTTGAATGAGGTACAATACGTAGAAACTTCAGACTGAAAATCATCTAGAAAATCGCTAAAATTCAAGAAAACCAAAAATTTGCGATGTTTTGCGTTTTCTGGCTGGTCTTTAATCTCAAGACCCTATGTGTTGTGCCTCATTTGAAAGAGAATTTTTTGTTCTATCCAATGACATAGAGTTGGGCAATATTGCTTAGCTAGAATAGAAGTTACAAAGGAAAAACCAGAATCGACGGAGAGCAGATGTTTTTGGGAGGTGCGAAATGCCGCTCGAATGAGCCGCTTTTCGTTGGGAAGTGTGAAATGCAGGAGAGCCTGGCATTCTTTTCTTATCGAAAATCGGCTCATTCGAGATCACACAGTCAAATTTGGGTTCTTTACCAGTATGATGATTTTAAAATCAACAAATAATTTGTTTCGCCTTGAAAAGATGTTCATATGATTTAGGTAAATGATTTCTAATAAAGACTAAGTTGGTTTAGCCGATGTTACTTTAGTACTTCTAATTATCCAAAACAAAAGATCAAACATACCAAAAGATTAGTTGTTGGTCTTTCTATATTGCTGGGTGATAAGACCTTGTTGCATCTTGAGGTTCGAACTTGCATGAGTGACTTCGACCAATACATCAACTTCAGTTAGCTCAAACATTCCTTGACGACGCTGTCGAACGTTACGAAACAGTGGTGGGTTGTTTTGAAGATTAGTCGGTGCTCCCTAAAGTCGAACGATTGTAATAGATATTTAAAACTAGCTTTAGAGAACTTGAAAAAAACATAGAATGAAAAAAGGTACCGACCTCAAGAATTAGTTCTCTGAAGAGGTAACGGACCCTTCCAGGCTTTAACGGACCCACAGCAGTCGAATTCAATTCATAGTCGCGATTTGGGGCTGGATGGACGAAACGGTAGAAGTTGCCCGTGTGGGGGTGTTCGATGTCGAAAGACCGTCCGTTGAAACGGAAGCTCAGCGGTCGAGCTGAATTCTCGACAAATCTGATGATTGGACGGTGCGAATTGATTTGATTCATCTAAAGCAAGAAATAACAAGGGAACAAAACGAGATTTGAAAAAAGAGCCTTCAGTTTAAATTATGCGGTGACGCCTTAATCTATAGGATTTTGTATTCTTTTCTTTAATAGAAAACCACTGATGCGATAAAGATGAAAGAAAGTCGTATAAACCTAAAATCGAATGAAAACTGTCGCTGAAAAACGCAAATTAAGGAAAGCTTTTTTCGCCAAATTTTAAACACCCAGCCAATTAGAGATCAGTATAAGCCCTAGAAAATGCTACCGACAAGATCAAAGATTTTACTAATGGATATACTCTAAAATCGAACAATATTTATGTATGCGCGACTTCAAATCGTGATGTTTTTATAATAAAAATGATAATAATGATAGTATTAGACAATAACGGCAAAAAAAGAAAATCAGTCTAGACTGATCTAGCTAATAGGCAAAAAATCAATCTTATTCCAATCAGGAGAGAAGGGAAAAAACCAAAAACAAACGCAAATTCAAGATATTCAATGAACGAGATTATGGTTTTTAAGGATTTGCGCCGGGGTTATCGTATCGGGAAAAATCGTCTCCAACCAAAAAGGTTTTACATGCCGCAATTCTTGATCTTTTTCATTTTTTGATATCGGTAATTCGTGAGGGAGGTGCGTAAGAAGGTCATTCGGCGATCTCATGTCACAAGGTTTAAACTGTGAATTGCGTACGCCATGCGTTTTGGCAAGGTCACCACTATTAATAGCGATAATTAATATAAGTGGTGACTAGTACTATGAGTGAAAATGAATATTACTATTGGAATTCATGAACAACGGTGTAAAGCTTATCATTTTTCACAATTATTATCACATAATTCTCATTTGTATTTCTTTTTTCGTTTATGGTCATCCTGTTTTTCTCAATGCTGGATAAATGCTTAACTTTATTATTTAGTTCTGCTATGAAGCGACCTGAACTTCGTTTCTTGAAGGATTTCGACTCTTTCACCGTGGAACGGGATCATTTGGAAGTGGTTTATGGAACCAAAACCTTTTTTTTTGGCTACGCGACCGTTTACGAAGAACGAAAATTCTCAACAAAGCCTTTGGGTAGCACTCAGCTCTATTTACCGAAAATGCTGCTTCAGGTTGCTTTTTCTATTTCACTATCTCATACTACAAAATTGATAATGAAGGTGCTAATATGGTTCATAAGGCAGGATAAGATAACCGTTAGAGAGGTGTGACAAGCGTACCTGAAGGCGTCACCGCATAATTTAAACTGAAGGCTCTTTTTTCAAATCTCGTTTTGTTCCCTTGTTATTTCTTGCTTTAGATGAATCAAATCAATTCGCACCGTCCAATCATCAGATTTGTCGAGAATTCAGCTCGCCCGCTGAGCTTCCGTTTCAACGGACGGTCTTTCGACATCGAACACCCCCACACGGGCAACTTCTACCGTTTCGTCCATCCAGCCCCAAATCGTTCCTGGCGATAGTGTGCTCAAATTGGAAGTTTCGGTGAGTTTCAATCTTTTTGTTTAAAACATTCTTATTTTTATTTAGGTCCTTCGAAGGCAAAAATTTGATTCTTTTTTCTTTACAGATAGAACGATGCCAAGCGAAATGGGGGTTGTAATGCAAAAGTTGAGAACATTCCCGATGGAGAAGCTATGCTACGACCTAAAGCTGGAGGTTTTGGAGCAAATGAACCCGAAGGATGCGATTGAATTGGTCAAGGTGGATGGAGAATTTCGTTCGATGCTGTTGTGGAAACCTTGGCTCGCCGATTTGCTAAACGAGGTAATGGTCGAAGGATCCTTCAAAGTATGTTAGTTAAAAGAATTCTTAATTTTATTTGGTCTTTGTTTAGTTCACGGGCCAATGGAATTGGGTGAAGAGCAGCCGTCTTCGACCTATTCTCAACAGCAAAGAAAAGGAAAAGGAGAAATGTGAGTAATACATTGTAAATTACTAGTTTATATAATATTAACAAGGTTTGTTTAGTTCAACTCGTCTCTCTGGAGGAAGTTCAACAGGCCAAAGCTATGCAATCGGCAGAAATGGTTGGAAAGCAAAGTGTGATGCAGGTGAATTGTCTTTCTTTTTTATCTTCTACACTTTTTCTTCTTTAGCCGATCACCAAGCAAGAGCGTGTCGAATACAGTCCCGAATTGACGGATCAGTTGCCACAGGTATGTGAAAACGTCCCTTTGTACTCTTTGTTTACAATTAATTTATTTAGGTCACTTACAACGACATCAACAACCCATTCCCGATCGAAGATTTCGACACGTCTCCACTCGGCTTCTGATTGATTTTCATCTCGTTCAAGAACTCTCGTCTCATCAACAAATAGAACTCGCCTCGACTACATTGATTTCGAACTCGAAACATTTTGCAGATTAATGAGTACGAAACGGTAAATCTTTGGCTAGTTCTGTTTTTTTATATCTTCTCGAAATTTGATTGTGTATAACTGGGTAGAGTAAACTTGTATAATTTTTCAAGCAACCAATAAAATTTTACATTGGTAAAAACTCTGAAACTTTTATCACATCACCGGTATTTAAAAAGTAATAAAAGATAACACAGAATGAAAGCAAACTATGAATCGTCTCGACCATCGGTGTGTTTCTTTTGTTGACCCTCGTGCTTTGCGAAGGGTTCTAAAATGTAGGGTATGAGAGGAAGTGGAAATAAATGCTTCAGATGTCTCTACGGTTATTATAGTAAGTCGCATATTAATAACGAACCTTTTCATTTCATCATCCCCCTTGTCATAAAGGTCTTTCATCATCGACATAAGTGATTCATTTGGGTCACTTGACGAGCCAGGCGTGTCGAACTTGGGAGCACTAAAATTGAATGAATTAATATCAGTTCGCATAAATGTAGTTAACTTTTTCTTTTTGAGCTCAGCATCTAAACGAGTGATTTCATCCCAATGCTTTTCCTCGCTTTCTTTGCGCAACATCACCAGCAACATATCCGTTTTTTGCTAAATTATCACAAAGTTTACAGAAGAAAGTAATCTCCTACTTTCACGTAGGAATCCTTGGTCACTATTGGATATTGGAGATCGATCATCTCGACGACATGATTCTTGCCTTGAAAGTTGTTGATATGAATGGAAAATCCTCTAAAACAACACAAAATTCAATGTTAAATGGCAAACAACCTTTCAGTAAAATTGCTTTTGATCAAATCTGCAGGCGCAGTTTGAATCCCATCAAGAGTGATGTAAATCTTCACAAACTTCGGGCTTTGGTCCCAAGCTATCAAAAAAGTACAGGCTGCATACCATTTTTGCATACCATTCGTGATTTTCGATGTGGGTAGTGCTCTGCTAGTAGCGGTAGATGAAATTTCCTTTGCGGATGAAGTTGCCTTGGGAGTCGACTAAAGTAAAAAGTTGAAAGGAAAACTGGAGTCTAAATTATACTTAGAATTTTAACTACACCTTACATTAGACGCAAATGTACATACTTCAGCAATCAGTTGTTTCAAGCGTCGCTCTTCTTTTTCAAGCAGAACTCTCGCGTTTTTTCGCGTTGCTTGTTTCAGAAGAGACACAGTTTCCACCAAATCGGCTTCAAGCTTAAAAAATATTTAAAGCATAAAAATGTTATAAAATATTCTATTCTCATCTAGTGTCTCTAACAAAGTCAAAAGCTTAACTAACCTCTTGAACACCCGCCATTGTTAAAAGAAAAATTCTAAACAAAAAAGACTTATTTTACCGTTTTGGGTTTTTTGGATAGCAGGAGTTTACAAACAAAAAGTGCACTTGTACAGAAAACTTTAAAAGCTTATTGACATGAAAGGAGCACACATATAATTCACAAGTGAAAATCTTATTATTGGGGTAAATGATCAAGTAAAGTCAATACATTTTGCATCAATTTTTCATTGACTTTATTTTTCTTGTGGGCTAGACATAATATGGACCCGAATTAACAAATCATATGAACAAAATGAAATGTGAAAAAATCTAACAAGCAACGAGAGTGAAATAAAACTTGTAGCACAAAAATAACGAGAAAAACATTCTAGGCACTTATATACTACACATCAGGAATTTCAGAGATAGCACACTCTAGTATTTTATAGGAGGGGAATTTGAGCTGACTTTGTAATTTCAATTTAAGCAGAGTTAGAGGAAAACACAAAGTGGTAAAACTGAAAAATATTTTTGTCAACGGGATAGCTGGGACTTGGCTGGAGATTAAAAAGCAAAGATTAAAAGACAACACTTTATAAGCAAAAAGGAAATAGTTTGGATAAAAAAGTGAACCTGTGTTGATGTGTAGAAATTGGAAGTCAAAGAGAGCAAATGAAGAGAAGCGAGAAAAAAAGGAATGTTCTCGAAGCAGCTCGATTAGATGGAGGCCGTCATAGGGTGCATAGAACGAATGAAGTCTAAAAGATTTGTCAATTAAGATGTTCAATTAAACTTTCAAACCTTAAAGTATACTGCAACATCCTTTACGTTGTCGGGCTCTGCTTTGTACATAGTTCATCTCGCGGACAATTTCGGCAAATGTGACGTTTACCGGTAAATATTATTTTTTTTAAAGGTTTAGTTCTAGTTTGTTCATAAGCCTAACAAACATACATTATGTGCATTCTTCGCTGAACATTCGGTAAAAGGACATGACCAGTATTCGGCCAAAGCCAAACCCTCTTCTGTTCGAACCTAGAAATCATAAAATTTAGAAAAACTTATAATTTTACCTGTCTTTGATGAGCTAAATCGCATTTATTTCCAACCAAAAGAATAGGCACTTGTTCGGTTCCCTAAAGAGAATATATCCAAAAAGATAAACAATCACCTACTTTAACTCGGATAATTTGCTCCCTCATCGTTTTGATATCGTGAAACGTTTGTTGACTTGTTATTGAGTAGACGACGACAAAACCCTAAACAAGATCAATCATAAGTACATTACATAGCATTTGAGTAGCGCACTAAAAAACTCACTTGTCCATTTTTAATGTATAAATCTCTCATCGACGCGAATTGCTCCGTACCGGCTGTATCCAAGATTTCAAGAACGCATGGTTGGCCATCAACCTACACAAATAAATTGAAACGATTTGCATATAAAAACTACCTCGATTTCTTTTCGGTAGAAATCTTCAATAGTTGGGTCGTATTTTTCGAGGAATGAGCCGGACACAAATTGAACGGTGAGCTAAATACCTAATTATTTCATGTTTAAAATTAAGAAAATACCTCCTCGTTGATAATTCGACTGTGGTGGATAACGTGCTTGTGGTCTCACTATAGGAGGATTTCAGTTTATTTGCAGCTAAAATTCACCCACATTAACGGCAAACGAATAAAATTTTTTAGCTTGCCAATGGCCATCTATTTGTGTGATCTAGGCTAAATAATCACCAAAATACGAAATAAACAAAAAAATAACCACCATTAACAGGAAAGGATCCTCGATATTCGACGTAAACCGGTTGATTGGACAAAGCTAAATTAATTGTACCTTAAGAATTGTTTATGAAAAATGTTATACAATTTTGTTGCTGTACAATAGGCTGAGGAGGTGCATTTGATAGTTAATTGCTCTGTTGTATTGGAGCCGGATTGCTTTGACTAATTGCATCCCTCGGACCTAAAGTTATGCAAATTCAATAATCCATAAGATCCCAACTTTGCTGAGCGTTTGTTTGATTCGTACCTTGTCTTTGGGCGAAAGAAGCAAAAAAAAAACGGGGATCTAAAAATAATTGATTATTAATAAAACTACGGGCAACCTACTGTCCGCATTGTCATCATCATCGTCATCTTGAGCCCATTTGTTCGCCATCACGTACCCAAAACAATCTGTAATTAAACGAGCCTCTAGGTTTTGAAAAATCAAGTGCAAAGTACGACATTACAAAGTTTTGCATTCGATACTGCAGCAAAAATAGTTTTTTTATACAAAAAGAGATTCAATAAAATTAAGCAGTGATTGCCGGATAGGGTTCCGGATGAGCAAATAAAAAGCTTATCTTGTATAAACTCACTTCACATTTCAAAGCGGATTGTATTAATTGGTGCTCTTTTGAATAAATTTTTATAGATGTGAAATAACTGGCTAATGCAAAAACAAACCGAAACCGAGTTCGACAAACTTCGTCCATAAAGTTTATTTGTCTTTAATTTCTCGTAAACATAAATAACATTGAATTGAATAACATTGAAATGAAAGTACAACAAACAGTCCAATGAAGGTAAATTTGAGACAGCAATCTCATCTAGAAAAGGATGCAATTCCATGAAGAACGAACAGAACAATGTAATAATTAGTACAAGGGCAACAAAAAAAATCATGAGATTGTGACTAACCCGCGCAAAGAAAAACAAAAAAGTTACAGCTATTCTTCCATTCGATTTCTCCAGGAACGTCCCTTTTTTGTTCGAGTCACTGAAGGAGCCTTTAGAATTTATGCCTTTAGATTGAGAGGCCTCCTCCAATTCCTCCTCAGTTGTATCGTGTAATGACATATCAAAGCACAATGATTCGACAAGCAGAGAAGAGGTAGAGGGTAGAGGTGGACGAGAGAACGAATATTGGTGACTATTGGCGAATGTTGGGCGAGTTATGGGAGTATTTTGGGGGAATGATGAGCAAATATCGGAGCTCTCAAAACCATCGAAACCAATGAAATAGTATACTTTCACTTCTTTATTGTAAGTTTTGATTGTTTAAAAGCACTTTGGCCGTTTCCTTTTCAATTTATCATATCTTTGTAAATGATTTTAATAAAATGTGGTTTTTAAAGATGGAACATAAAAATTTATGCCCAGATCTCTGGGATTAAAATGAAAAACAAACAACATAAATCCCCCTTTATGAGGGTGATTAGAAAAAAAGATCTGTGCGTTTTGTTTGAAGAACAAGGCCGAGGCTTTGATGCTACAGATGGATAAAGAGACCATAAAGCGACCTGAAAAATTCAAATAGTTCTAATTATTTAAAATATATCTAATATATGGCTTTTCAATTTTCTATTGGAAATAACGTTCTGGCATTTCCCAATTGATTTGCCAAATGATGAAAGTATTTTAGCAAAATTTGAGATTCTAAATTTAATAGCTTCATAACCCAAAATGAACCGAAAGATTCAATCGTTAAGAGTTTTTCAGCACAATAGTTTCAGCATAAAAAAAGACTCATATGAGTCAGATAATGATCTGCTATAGCTATGCAATGTGATTTGAGCTATGATACTTAGGCTATTTCAGTTATCCAAATAAAAAAAAAAAAAAAAACGCCTATACACCAACCGCCCGGACCCCAAGATAAAACGAACTACCCCCCAAACAAGAAACACATCCACTTCCCAGGTCCACAAACCCCCCCCCGCCCCCCCCCTCCTTGTCCCTGGAACACCCTCCCGTTTTGCTGGTTGTATTGGTTGGTAGGACTCTAAAGTTCAACAGTAAAGTATGATTTAAAACTATCTTATATAACAAAAACAAAACACCAACCTGCAGCATAACATTCTTTACGAGAAAGCTGCCTCTTCGTTTCTTCAAGGGGGCGAAGCCAGCCGGATGCAACTCATACTCGCGATTGGCGACGACGGGAGAATGTGTAAAACGATAGAAGTTGCCACTCTGAGGATGAGTAATCTCCAAATATGCTCCGGTGAAGGAGATCACGAAAGCCTGACGTGGATTTTCGATAAACATGAAGATTGGACGAGGCGATTGGAGGTTTTCATCCAAGTCGTCCTCATCTTCGTCTTCCGATTCGACCTCCTCCAATTCCTCCTCAGTTGTATCGTCGTCTTCCGATTCAGAAGTCGCATTTGTCTAAACGTAACCAAAAGTTGATTTCGTCAAGCATGTTGAACGTGATTCAGATCAAAATCAAATCAAGATAATTCCGAAACTTTGCACATAAATAATTTCAAAACTGAACCTGCTGATAGCCAGCAACGCTTGAAAGTTTCAGCACAAATTGAGCGAACATCAGCACATCTCCGAACTTCGCAGAAACATTCACAGGAATTTCATGCCAAACATATTGTATGTGGTACTGAAAGTTTACAATGAAATCATCTTCAAATTTTCATCTAATCTAATTGAACGAAATCATTTGGAAGTGGAAAATACAAGTTTTCCTATGGAGGTAGCCACGCTTGTCACACCTCTCTAACGGTTATCTTATCCTGCCTGATGAACCATATTAGCACCTTCATTATCAATTTTGTAGTATGAGATAGTGAAATAGAAAAAGCAACCTGAAGCAGCATTTTCGGTAAATAGAGCTGAGTGCTACCCAAAGGCTTTGTTGAGAATTTTCGTTCGTCGTAAACGGTCGCGTAACCAAAACAAAAGGTTTTGGTTCCATAAACCACTTCCAAATGATCCCGTTCCACGGTGAAAGAGTCGAAATCCTTCAAGAAACGAAGTTCAGGTCGCTTCATAGCAGAACTAAATAATAAAGTTAAGCATTTATCCAGCATTGAGAAAAACAGGATGATCATAAACGAAAAAAGAAATACAAATGAGAATTATGTGATAATAATTGTGAAAAATGATAAGCTTTACACTGTTGTTCATGAATTCCAATAGTAATATTCATTTTCACTCATAGTACTAGTCACCACTTATATTAATTATCGCTATTAATAGTGGTGACCTTGCCAAAACGCATGGCGTACGCAATTCACAGTTTAAACCTTGTGACATGAGATCGCCGAATGACCTTCTTACGCACCTCCCTCACGAATCCAGTTATAAACCATAAGCATTTAGTTTTTTTGAATTCTCGAAGTCAAATAAAATCATCAGTCTCCCAGAATTTCTTGGAATTTCATGCCAAAAATATATACACAATCAAAATAAATGCTTTATTCAAGACAAAGAAAGGTTTATTTTAAGGCAGAGAAATGATTGACGAAAAGAATAGGTTGCTTTGCAGTGGAAGAATGCTGCGAAACGATTCTCCCCATTTCGAATTTTCGTTTCATTCGGCTATCGACAACTTCATCACCGTCTCACCGCACACCTAAATGGATAAATTGAATGTCAGTAGTGGAAACGAATTGCTGTTCGTTATACAACAGTAATAAAGATCACTCTCCCAAAAAACACTCACCTCGGCCATAATGAGAGATCCATCACTGGGGAATCTCCGGGCTCCTTGAGAGTCGGTGGAATCTCCGGGCTTCACGAATTGGAACGGCAATTTGTCGGCTCGAGGAGCTCGTAAACAAAGAAATAAAGCAATAAGAATCAGCTAAAAGTCACCTTTCTGAAAAGTGATCACGAAGTTTTGCGTCCCGCCAACATCGATGAAGCCATGCACTTTGGAGACCGAAATAGTTCGAGTTATTCGACTGAATACTACTGAATATTCGACGAGCGCACTTGAAACACAAAAACATTATATTTTCAAAACATGATTGCAAAGGCACAAAGAAAAAGCACCTATCTTGTATTGGGCAAACCTGAAAAAAAACAATTCTCTCTTCGAGGAATGCTTTATTTGGAAGCACTGTAATTTGAAATTCTTTAGTCATTTTAAAGATATTCATCTAATAAAGAGAAAGGCTATAAAATTTCTTTTATTTTAGGTTCTTTTCAGGCCAAATCTCGCGTACACTTATCGTTTACAAGGACCACACAAATGGCAAGGAGCAAGAGAAGCGATTATGTCAGCACAAGAGAGAGTGATCAAGGTTTGAAAAGATGAAATGAAAAATGAAACGAAATTAGCATAGGTTATTGAATAAATTACTCACTTGCTTACGGTATTTTTTTTAAAATTTTTGAATATTCGAGCTATTACTTTAAAATGTATAGAAAATAGTGAAAATAGCTGAAAAGGTTTACTGTTTTACTGAAGTGGTTTACTAAAGGTTTACTGCTTACCGGTTTACTCTCAGTAAGCTACAGTACTGGTTTACTCTCAGCTGACCTACGTAAAGTGTATTTTTTACAAGCAACTCGTTTTTAAAAGATAGATAATTTAAAAAGCTACCGTAATCCCTGTAGTACAGTGATGTCACTGTTTCCTTTAGATTTTGTCCATTCTTTTTACTTTTTTTTCGATTCACAGCTTGATTCCTCATCAAATAAGATCAAAAATGAAGTAAAGCAGACAAAAACTGAAGAAAAGATTACAATAACTTTGAAAATGATCTATTTTTGATGGCCAAATCTCTCCTTATTCAAATGAATCGTTTTCCAGGCGACAAATATGTCCTATCGTCCATCTTTCGTCGGCAATTTGGTCAATTTCAACCCATTGATTCTCATCTTTTTTAGCATTAACTCTTGCTTTTGTTCTTGTTTTTTAAGAGTTTCAAATTTTATTTATTACATTGTGCAATAAATCGGGATACAAAAATTGGACAAAGCACAAAGCTGGAGATATGCAAGGCATCTAATGCACTCAAAAAACTCATCCAATGCACTCAAGGGATAAGCTCTTTTTTCAGCTCTAGTTGATCAGAACAATTTGACAGAATATTTATCGTAATATATTTAGAGAAAAAGAGAATATTTAAATTTACAACTAAATTGGAGTTTCAAGTGTTGCTGTGCCCTTTGTGCTCGAAAACGGAAACCGCACCCTTTCTGGTGCACTCCTTCTTTAACGATTTTCATTTTTCTTGCTTTTTATTGTACAAAAATGAAGCATTGAGTGCTCTAGAAAGGATGTGTTTCCGTTTTCGAGCACAAAGTACGCAGCTTATTGTGTGGATGTGGGTAAGCTGTTCGTTTGAGCCGCTGCTCCTCCATCCGAACCAACCACAAACGCTTTCGGAATACTGTCTCCATAATAAATCTTGTTGTTCTCCTTGATTGCCTCGATTTTCTTCAAGTCGAGGAATTGACTGAAAAGGGTTTGGTAAAAATCTGGTTATATGATTTACACCGTCAATTACATCTGGCTATCTACACCGTACAGTACCATAATAACCAAAACTTTGGGCTGATCCGGGAATCAAAGGTACTTTGAATGAAATTTTCCCAATAAAACCAAAAATTTGGGCTAGTCCGGGGATCGAACCCGGGACCTCTCGCACCCAAAGCGAGAATCATACCACTAGACCAACCAGCCATAAGGGACGGTGCGAAAATCTGGGTGATGTTTCGGGTGTTCTAGATTTATAAGTGAATGTGGAAGGGCAGGTTTTGAAGGAAAGAGATCGAAAAAAGAATGAATCTTTCTCTCTTCAAGAAAGTCTGTGTGATCGGAGCCGGAGCTAGTGGATTGTCTTCAAATGCGGTGATTACTATCTGCTATCGCTTCATCTGACTCTAATCGCTTCATCTGACTCTAATCGCTTCATCTGACTGTCACATTTCATTCTACTACTAGCTAGAATAGTTCTCTCTTACGTCTACCAGCATATTTAGATTTTAAAATCATATCTTGATTCTAAACACATTAAAGAATTGTTTGAAATTAAGGGAAACTTTTATAGAACGCTTTCAATTATTTCAATTCAATTATTGACTGAATAAGATTCCCAATGAAGAGATCTTTCTCTCTTCAATTATTGTATTCAATATTTCTCTTCAATTCAAAAAAGTTCAATTGAATGAATAAGATTCTCAGTTACTGGTTTACTCTTTTCAATAAACTCACGGTGAAAGAAGCTTGGCATTCGCTTCGGCCTGTTTCTGCGCTTTGTAAAACGACGCATCGGCATTCGCTTTCTCTTTGGCTAAAATTTCAATTCCATTATGCTAATAAAAGATTGATGAGCTTAGGAATAGGGGTTTGCTTGCCTTTTGACGTGATCACCGATGGACGACGATTGACTAAGACATAGACAAGACGGTTGACTATGAGTGGAGAGTGTTAATCGGATTCTCCTTCCCCTATACTAATCCCAATTTCCCTTGCTTTTGCAATCTTATTCACTCTATCTATCTATAGTAGATGTTTACATGTTTCCATTAGCTTTCACCATTAGCTTTCACCATCCGCTTTTCATTGCACTCATTTGTATATTGAAATGACTAGCATAAATGTAAAGATAAATAATCTTTACATGGAAAGATATAAATAATCTTTACATTTTCCACTCACCAATATGTATCTCATCCTCCAATTTGTTCACAGTTTTCTGTGCTTCTTTCTGAGCGATCACTTGTTTATACTCGACGGCGGCCACTTGCGACTTTTTCTCAGCTTCTGAAATTTTCAATGATCATTTTCAAGTTCAATAAAGCTAAGGTATAGCTAAATTTAGAAAGGAACAAAATCAGAATGTTTTTTCGTTCTTTAGACCTTCAAAACCGTGATAACAGCAAAAACTTTCACTGATCAATGGCTAAAAGTTGAAAAGATTTCTATTTTTAGAGCATGACATGGTAATGATTAAGAATTTAAGAAAAATAACAAGAATAGCCTATATCAAATCGTTTTTCTCACCAATGAGCGCCCGTTTCCGATCAGTTTCCGCCTCTTTCTCAACAACTCTTTGATGCTCGACGGCGACGAGGAGTTTTGTCTGAATTGGTCAAAATCATGAATTGTATTTAAATCATATTATGGCTTTAATTGTGCTTTCATTTCAATCACTAACAGAATAAATCTATTGGGTTGGTGAATTGAAAACTGCTCGCATCACGCGCATATGCTCCGAGTTTGACCCCCGTCACTTGTCTTTTTGCAAAAATTTTTTTAAAAGGCATAACTACATAAAATTTCATCAGACACGTGTTTTAGCGTTTTTTTAAAATACTCAAAGGGAAAGCCCGTAGTGCGCGCACGGACAGAGATTATTTTTTTATCTATTGGGTTGGTGAATTGAAAACTGCCGGACTTTGAACTAAAATTTATTCAACATAAAACCATGAATTCATTCGAAATAATTTCCATTATTATTGCCGACTTCTGCCCATTTTACAGGCAATTTGCGGATTCCTCTTTCTGCGTAGGATTTTGGTTTGTGTGTGAGACAAGTGTGAGACTCAAAAATCGAGGACTGGAGATGTCAGCTGTCAGCCCAGTTTGAGCACTTTCTTCAAAAGAAACCCATTTTGGTGTCAATAGAAAAGTTGTAGAGAATCAAAAATGAGGCTTATAGCCAAATTTCCAAAAAGATACACTTAGTATTTTCGCTTAAAATGCAAGTTTTGTGAAAATTCGTAAATTTGGCATTTCTTGAAAACTTTCTTGAATCGTTCTGAAAATTTGGATATAAGCTTGATTTTTGATTCTCTACAACTTTTCCATTGACACCAAAATGGGTTTCTTTTGAAGAAAGTGCTCAAACTGTCACATATGACAATAGCCCGCAGTTTTCAATTCACCAACCCAATAATTTAAAGCCGAGAAATGAAACCTTTTCCGCTTCCATTTGCTCATAGTTTTGGCGAATCTCGTTAGGGATCTTTGGCTTCGTGACACGAACTGATTGAACGAAAAGACCTAGGAATTCGTTTATGCAAGATTTTCAGATTTTCTTGTACTTTCAATATACGAATAGATTTAATGTAATGTTGCAACTGATGTTACAACTAATGTTGCAATTTGATGTAATGTTCTACAACTGACCCGGTGCCAACGTCTGCAGCTCGGCCTGTAACGCGCTCTTCAGATTTTCATCGATTTTGTCTGTAATTTTGTTTTGAAATCGTTTTTACATCAAATTTCAATTACCGAACAAATCAATGTAAACCTCTTGAATCGTGTGTTTACTGCAGAATTGATTTATCTCATGATGTACCTAAGAATTTACGTTTCATGTTCACTGAAGCTTTTGAAGGCCCGTAAACCCCGTTTTTTGGGTTTTTTTTAAAAGCTTTTTATACAGTTTTTATAGAAGACAATCAGCCTTTTAAATGAATAAACGAAAAAAAAATCAAATAAAGAAATTAAAACCGAAGAAGAATTGCATCAAAAGAAAACGAAAAAAATAGAATGGATTTGAAAGTTGAAAATACAAAACACTCACCTTGTTATAAATCAACGGTTTATCGTAATCGGTTGTGTACTTTCGAACAGTTTCCAGCACTGAAATTGACTTTAGAATGGTGCAAAAGTCAACAAATTATCAGGCACAAACCGGCATCAGCGTTGAGAATGTTGACGACCTCGATTCGATCAAAATAGATCATCACTCCGCCCTGTGTCCCGCACGGCACATTGCTCACCTCATCGGTTTGAATCGTGATCTTAAGTCGACTTTGGTTTCTCAATTTTTCTTTAGTTTGATAAAGAAAGTTATAGCTGTTCTTAGCTGTTCTTAAAAAGGGTTCTAAACAGGACTCTCAAACAAATTCAACTATATCCTTTTCAAGTATTGCATTTTCTAAATTCCTAAAGTTATAATTATAAATCTTTTGTTTTGCAATCTTTTGTTTAATCCTGGATAACAAACGACAGGTTGCTAGATTGGAAATCACAAAAAACAGTCAGTCAAAAAAGTTTGGGCTAGTCCGGGGATCGAACCCGGGACCTCTCGCACCCAAAGCGAGAATCATACCACTAGACCAAACAGCCGTGGGAGGTCTCTCGAAAATCTAGCTGATCTTTCGAGTGTTCCACATTCATTGGTGTAAGCTTACAATAGTTTTTTTTAAAGTTTGACCGATTTTAGAGTCTTGATCTATTCCAGTATATTACTGTAGCTACTTTTTCTTTAAATGAGTCAATCTGAACAACCAGGTGCAATCAGTAAGAGTTCAAAAAACATACAATTTCTTAAAACCATAAATTTAATGGTAGTCTTGTATGATCTACTGGATACCTGTACAATTCGGGCATCGGTCAACCACGGCACTTTCAAGTGATATCCTGGGCCGAGGGTCTCATTTTGAAGAGCGCCTCCCTGGAATTACAAATTCATTTCTGCTTTTACTAGGGAACTGTTTCAACTTCAACCACCTAGCTACAAAAAGTCCCCGTAGATATTTTTGCTTTGAAATTCTTTGCTTTGCTTTGAAGGCATTGCTTTGAAGGCTTTGCTTTGAAGGCATTGCTTTGAAGGCTTTGCTTTGAAGGCTTTGCTTTGAAGGCTTTGCTTTGAAGGCTTTGCTTTGAAGGCTTTGCTTTGAAGGCTTTGTTTTGAAGGCTTTGCTTTGAAGGCTTTGCTTTGAAGGCTTTGCTTTGAAGGCTTTGCTTTGAAGGCTTTGCTTTGAAGGCTTTGCTTTGAAGGCTTTGCTTTGAAGGCTTTGCTTTGAAGGCTTTGCTTTGAAGGCTTTGCTTTGAAGGCTTTGTTTTGAAGGCTTTGCTTTGAAGGCTTTGCTTTGAAGGCTTTGCTTTGAAATTCTTTGCTTTGCTTTGAAGGCTTTCAAAAAACACTTCTTTATGATTATTATCGTGCTTTTAAAGCAATAATTAGCTATTTATTAAAGTTTTTTTTCTTAGCTTTCAGAGACATTTACAGGTGCTTTACTTAAAAACGCCTTTGGCAACGACAAAAACAGATAGTAAGTAAGACAAACTTGTACATCGGTGGTAAGTTGACACAGTTCTCTAGTTAGATAAAAGTGAAACTTTTGAAAGTGTTTAAGTGTACCCTAAATAGCACAGCTACATGTCCCTCTTGTACGTGAAAGATTGATGACCAAAGGAGACTCAAAGCGATTAAACCAATCAATCCCGCGATCACAGTCACCGCCAATAAACGCGGTTTGATCTTTGAATTGCAGGATTTGTCTGGAAGTTGAAAGTTCAAAGCCCTTTGAAATTCGCCATTCAAAAAGATGCACAAAAATGAAGGAAATGAAGCACTAGATACGCCAGAAAGGGTATGTTTCCATTTTTGTAAGCACAAACTACAGTCGACTCTCTATAACGGAACTCTATATAACGGAGTAGAATTTTGGTCTCGAACGACGCTAAGCTATATAAAACGGTACTCTATATAACGGAGCCCTATATAACGAAGTTCTATATAACATAGCTCTATATAACATAGCTCTATATAACGGAGCTCTATATAACGGAAAGCTCTATAAAACGGAGCTCTATATAACGGAAACATTTTGTTGATCCCTTCCATTCCGTTACAGAGAGACTCGACTGTACTCATTCGTATCAAACCTTGACTCGATGCAGGCATTTGCAGACTCGTCGCTCCTCTTTGCGCTTCATGTGCATTTATCCGATGCACGAGTCCATTCTGAAAGTCCATATCCGAGAAATCCTTGTGCTCCATTTCATTCATCGCTGCAACGTGATCGTTTCGCATTTTTTAAATGAAAACAAGCAAGCAAAGGGATCAAAATTTTTTAAGTTTAAGTTTAGAAGAAACAGGTGAATAATTGTGTTAGGCTCGCTTGTCTTTTTTTTTAATTTTTTTTTCAGCAAATCACCAAGGAAACCCTGGGAATAATGAAAGGGAAATCTTCGAAGGTAATTGCAAATTTTTTTCCCGTTTTCAGGTGTTTAGATTTGGGCAAAATTAAGCCAAAGTTGGTTTTGGGAAATTCAAAATTGAAAGTAGACTTCATTCTCTTTAAAATCTAATGCAAAAAAAAAGAAAAGGATTTTGAGAAACGATTAGGAAAAGAGTTACTATATAAATAGTTACCGTAATCACTCAAATAGACGGTCATTCTCGTCTATTTCTTCTCAAAATTCTATTTCCTGTCCAAACTTACAGTCTACCGAAATTTTCAAAAAGCTTAATGAGCGTTTTTATAAATTTTATCCGAATTTTTTATGCTATGATTGGTTTATATTAGAATATTAGAGAATAATTTGGAGTGGGACAAATGTGACCTTTTTTTGCGCACCCGGACATTTGCGCACCTTTTTTTCCGCACCTTGCCCATTAGCGCACCTTTTTTCGCGTTTTAAAAAAGCTCTGAAAGGCTAAAAAGCTCTAAAAAGCTAATATTAACCAATTTCTATTCCAAAAGTTGTTTTTCTAGGTAATTTTAGGGTGCAGAATCGAAATTTTGACATATCAGAACGTGTGGAACCAATTTGAAAGACAAAACGGCTAGATCAAATTACAGAAAATTTCGATTGATGATTTTTCTCTTTGTATAACTCCGTCCGTTTTTTTCCACAAGCTCTGATATGTCAAAATTTCGATTCTACGCCCTAAAATTACCTAGAAAAACAACTTTTGGAATAGAAATTGGTTAATATTAGCTTTTTAGAGCTTTTTAGCCTTTTAGAGCTTTTTTAAAACGCGAAAAAAGGTGCGCTAATGGGCAAGATGCGGAAAAAAAGGTGCGCAAATGTCCGGGTGCGCAAAAAAAGGTCACATTTGTCCCACTCCCAAGATATATTTAATCAAATTTAAAATATTCAGTTATGAAGTTTGATACTTTTTAATATTTTTCCCTCAACTCACCCCTTGAAAAGCTCGTCGGTCTCTTCAAATCGGGCATCGAAATGGGGGAAAACCTTTGACTCGTTTATTGTTTAGATTTTTGGGAATAAGTTTTCAATCTAATCTAAATCTAACTCAAAAATGATTCTTATAAATATTATAATTCAGCTGGAGAAGATTCGATTCACGCAGGAAATCGGGAAAATCGGGGAAAATGATTGCGAAAGAGGGGGAAAAGCGGCACTGTGACGAGCGGAAATAGACTCTTCACAAGAGTGAAGAGTCTATTTTTAGAGAAAAGAACTTTTTGAAAGACGTTTACAAGTGCGTATTTCGGTATTTTTCAGTTCAGCTGCAATTTTAGTTTTGAAATTTTGGTAAAATTGCGTATTTGATAAGATACACTAGATCAGCCTTTTGGCTAAACCGTTTTTAATCGAAATCCAGTCACTCACTCTATTCCAGAATGTGTTTGACTAAATAGTTTTCTAAAAATCATCTATTTTATAAAACTACCATAAGCTAGCCGCCAGTTTACATTGAATCATTTCAATTTTTGATAACATTCGATAAGAAATCATAAGACTCAGTTAATGTATAAAAATCGAGCTAATTAAGTGAAGACTGGTGGCATGATTACGGTAGTTTTAATAGATGATTAGATGATATAGATGATTTTTAGAAGACTTTTTATTCAAACACATTCTTGAATAGAGTGAGTGAATAGATTTCGATTTTCATTTAATCATTCAATGGCCCAGAGAACACAATTACAAATAAAAAAAAGCACAAAAATTATGCTTATCGAAGCCCAAATGCTGATTTGTAGCAAAATTTCAGGAGAATTGGCCATGGAATGGTCGAAAGAATGAAGCTGAAAGCTGGGCTTTCCTTATCCTTCAATCTTTAGTCGGATCCGGGTGAACTGATGCATAAAATAAAGCTCTTGACGAAATGAAATGAAGTATTGGAGGTGTACTGGTTAAAATTCGGACTCGAATTTCGACCGAGTCTAATATATCTTCATTTTATCATTGCTGTTAGAGAAAAACGATCATGAGTCGTTGAATGAAAGCCTGGGTCACACATTGTTTTCACCTCCTCTAGCAGGAGGCTTCGAAAAATTTTGAGCTGTAACCAGGGGGAAGCTACGCTGCCAGATTCTGGTTTTGACTCTGAGGGGGGCCCGTAAGCCCCCCTCAGATTCCCGGTATCTACCGGGCTGAGCCAGGATTCCCGGTATCTACCGGGCTGAGCCAGGATTCCCGGTATCTACCGGGCTGAGCCAGGATTCCCGGTATCTACCGGGCTGAGCCAGGATTCCCGGTATCTACCGGGAGGGTGTGCCAGGCAGCGTGCGATTATGTGCCCCCACAAAGAACTCTCTTGGAGGCTTTACGAGCTGGGTATTAACGATATGGAAATGCTTAGATATCGATGATATGTTACTTAAACTGTTACTGCGTGCTCTAAAGCTCAATGAATCTTCAAATATAAGAGGAATTCGATAGTTTTAAAAAGAAATATCTATGATCTCATCTATTTCTAAGTTCCCTCATCAATCCTCATCCAAGCCGTGACTCCGAAAAGCTCACACATGAACAGGTGCCAGTTTTTGCAATTAATATTTTCATTCATTTAGAGAAGCAACACGGGCATTAATAAGGTTTGCATCAAGCGATTTCCAGGTATGAATTTGATTTCAAAAGTTTATTCACTCATTTTCTTCATCCAGAACCATCACTTTTTCTCTCGAACAATCATCACAAGCCGGGATCCGGATCACAATATAGGATGGGCGTTTCTGATGAACCTGTAAGAGATTTGAAAGTAATAAAAGTAACAAAAGTAACATAAGTAACTCTGAACATAAGTAACTTTCAGTTATTCAATCTATCCAGCTCAAAAATCCCACCTTTCGAGTACAAATTGGACAACAAAAGTTCGCCTCATCTTTCTCATTCATCTGGAAGAGATTTCTGATTTTTGCCCGGGGTTTTCGTTCTTTAAGTTTTGTCAAAAAAAGAAATTAAAGGCAAAATTGATTTTAGGAATTTGGGCAGAATGATAATAATGATAAAATAATGATTTGATCTGTCTTCGCACTTAGCGCAGATCACAACCCGCTTCCACATTTACTGAGGCAGAAGTGTAGTTGTCGTAGCCGATGATACTCCGATGGCCGGGCTGGGGCGCTCGGAGGGGTCGACCACAGACCCTTCCCTTTCTGGGCCCCCATTTGGGCAGAATGATATTGAGTATATTGAATATTGAGCTATAAATCAATGCTTGAGGGTTTTCGGAGTCGAGAAATCTATTGGAGCCATCTATTTTATTGAGTCTGAAAATAGGATTTTGGATTTTGGATCTCGTTTTGCTTGATTTCTTGTCCGAATAACGGACAAGAATCTCTGTGATGGGATGGGCCATGGGTATGACCTGGGTCATGGGTATGAAAGTCATGGGTCATGGGTATGAATTCCTAAGGTAAATACCACTAAAATTAGTTCAGGATCTGATGGGTATGAAAGTCATGGCTATGAAAGATTCGGGTGATCGGTTCAAATCTCTTACTTTATGCGCCCGATTGATTCCCTGGTGAGAAGTGCCGGAAGTGCTTAAACAATTTGAAAATTGACTAGCAATTGACTAGCAATTGTTTCTTTTCCTCACCTCTGATGATCTCTATGATCGGACTGATTGATGAGATCCCCCTCATCGATCCATTCAAAGTGTCCATCATCAAATTGAACCTTGTAGCCGGCTTGGCTTCGAATGTACCTAAAAGTCTATGATTTAAATAATATTCAATCAATGATAAATCATTAGTTGATGCAAAGAAATGTCCCATTACCATATCACAACTTTTTGTCAGTCTTTTTCTAAATAAATCGCAATAGTTACAGTGTTAACCTTTTGAGTTTAGTTTTTTTCAAAAGCTAATTAACAAATGTAAATTGGTACAAGGTTTGTGCCAGTTTCTTTACCGAATAAAAGCTGTAGTCATAGGGTTTTCACTCACCTAACAATTGCCTCTTGTACTTTGCCGGCTCTCTTGAATTGCACCTTATCCCCGACATCAGCTGAGCCACTTGGTCGTCGAAATTCGACTTGATGACCTAAAGTGTTTGCCTAAAATTCAATTGACTAATATTTTCGAAATAAATTAAACCCGTGAAGCTCCAGCTTTCTGATAGCCTTCCTTTGACCGTTTTGCGGGTGGAAGATTTCTGTAAAGCCAGTGGATTAAAAAGATAATTAAAAAGATATATTTATTTATTCATAAAATCTAGAGTGTGTTTTCTAAAAGACATTTTAAAACACCGTAATCATGCCGATAATTTGCACTTGATCAGCTCAAATTTTGGCTAAGTTCGATAAAGAATCACAAGGCTCAGTCAATGGTCAGATTGAATGTAAATTGGCGGAATGATTAAGGTAGTTTTAAGTTTTAAAGAAGTACTAACCGTCTTTCCTCGATCCCCGTTTCCCCATCTCTTTCATTTCCTTCTCCTTGTCCCATATTGACCGTCATTTGAATAATCTGTGTCAACTCGTCATGGCTCAGTTCTCCATTTTCAATCGTGATCCCATTCTCCTCGAGTTGACTTGGAGATAACTAAACGTCAGATCGTCAGAAACATAACGATCAATCCAGTCCTGATCTGGATCCAGTCCTGATCTGGATCCAGTCCTGATCTGGATCCAGTCCTGATCTGGATCCAGTCCTGATCTGGATCCAGTCCTGATCTGGATCCAGTCCTGATCTGGATCCAGTCCTGATCTGGATCCAGTCCTGATCTGGATCCAGTCCTGATCTGGATCCAGTCCTGATCTGGATCCAGTCCTGATCTGGATCCAGTCCTGATCTGGATCCAGTCCTGATCTGGATCCAGTCCTGATCTGGATCCAGTCCTGATCTGGATCCAGTCCTGATCTGGATCCAGTCCTGATCTGGATCCAGTCCTGATCTGGATCCAGTCCTGATCTGGATCCAGTCCTGATCTGGATCCAGTCCTGATCTGGATCCAGTCCTGATTTGGATCCAGTCCTGATTTGGATCCAGTCCTGATTTGGATCCAGTCCTGATTTGGATCCAGTCCTGATTTGGATCCAGTCCTGATTTGGATCCAGTCCTGATTTGGATCCAGTCCTGATTTGGATCCAGTCCTGATTTGGATCCAGCTCAGCCGGCAAGAACAAAACGGTGAGTGATAGATATAAATTTGATATTGGATTACCGTATTCTGATTACACAGAAGCTCAACACTCTAATCCCCGGCAAGATCTCATTGTCAGCTACATATTCATTATACATATTCATCTGATATTCATTAGATCAAATTTTATATCTAAAATTTGTTTATCTCAACATTTGATAAGGATTACTGAAGCGCACTAAATAAGATTTCATCTTATTTGGTGCTCAAGATCTCAATGGTATCTCAAGAAAGGCAAATCCTTGGAAAATCTTGGAAAATCTTGGAAATTCTTGGAAAACTCGATTCCAAGAATTTCCCGGAGTTGGGGGGGAAAGATTGTTGATCGTTTCCGAAAGATTTGTCAACAGATAAACAGCTCATTTCTTGGAATTGCCTGTTCTCGGAAGACCAATCGTATAAAAGCGCTTGCAAAATAGTGATAACTTTACTTTTTGTTCGCATTGAATTTGTTAAAGTCACGCAGTATACGGTAAGTAAAAAGTGTTACTTGAATTGTAAGCAGTTGTATAAGGTAGTCAGTTGTATAAGACTTATAGCCAAGCCTCCCTACAGTATCCTTTACTGAAATCAAATTCTATTAAGACTTACAGTATGTTTATTACAATATTATCCGAGCATATTTAACTTATTCCAGTTGATTCATAAATGCCCAAATTTCGCTTACAATTATATTTTGTGGTCAGAAAAAAGGAAACACAGCTTTACAAGTGCACCAGAAAGCTTGCGTTTATACTTTTGAGCACAAAGTACATTCCAAATTGAAGATCTTACATAAAAATGTCGGCCAGTTGTCGAATCGATCAATTCCAATCCTCCATCATCCGTCCCATTTATTGTAAAAGTTGCTTGTTGTGAATTTTGCTCAGATCGATTCATGTCAAGTGAATGTGAGCGTTTTCCTTTAATATTTACATTTATACTAAATTCTTTTACGTTTTTCTTCACTTAGAGCCTAAATAGAAGAATTTGTGTTCAGAGTTGTTCGAAAAAGCGGGAGTGGGACAAATGCGACCTTTTTTTGCGCACCCGGGCATTTGCGCACCTTTTTTTCCGCACCTTGCCCATTAGCGCACCTTTTAAAAAGCTCTAAAAAGCTAATATTAACCAATTTCTATTCCAAAAGTTGTTTTTCTAGGTAATTTTAGGGCGTAGAATTCAAATTTTGACATATCAGAGCTTGTGGAACCAATTTGAAAGACCAATTTGAAAGACAAAACGGCTAGATCAAATTACAGAAAATTATCGATTTTTCTCTTTGTATAACTCCGTCCGTTTGTTTCCACAAGCTCTGATATGTCAAAATTTCGATTCTACGCCTGAAATTACGTAGAAAAACAACTTTTGGAATAGAAATTGGTTAATATTAGCTTTTTAGAGCTTTTTTAAAACGCGAAAAAAGGTGCGCTAATGGGCAAGGTGCGGAAAAAAAAGGTGCGCAAATGTCCGGGTGCGCAAAAAAAGGTCGCATTTGTCCCACTCCCGAAAAAGCCGAAAGCTCATGGCTAGACAAGCCAGCTTTGACTGTAGTTCAAATTTCATTCACAAATCCTTAAAAAGTAGTAAAATCTTATGAATAAATGGAATACTTGTTCGCTCATCAGCTGACGTGCTTTGATGAGACTCGGATTGATCGGCGTTCATCAAACTCAGAACATTTGCCACCTAAAATCCCCCACTATCACGATACTAGAGTCAAAAAGAGTCAAAAAATTACCGTAATCTTGCCTCTAGTACTCAATTCATCTTAATCAATTGCAAAACTGGCACCTGTTGATGTGTGAGCTCTTCAGAGTCGCGGATGTTGATCCCGGCCTGGGTTAAGATTGATGAAGGGACCTAGAAATAGATGGCATCAAAGTGAACTTGATATCTTCTTAAAACGATCAAATTCCTCTTATATTCCAAGATTTATCGAGATTTAGAGCATACAGATATTTTAAGAAACATATCATCGATATCTGAGCATTTCCATATCGTTAATACCCAACTTGTGCAGCCTCAGAGTTTCGCGCGAGATTTTCTTTGTGGGGGCACACAATCGCACGCCGACTGGCACAAGGCCCCGATAGATAGCGGCGGGAATCCCACCCAAACGATCCCCCGGGAATCGCACCGAACTCATCCGCTCCGTAGCTCCCCCGCGGTGTGGCTCAAAATTTTTAGAAGCCTTCTGCCAGAGAGGGCGAAAACAGTCCCAGCGTTAGGTTCTTTCCCATTTTTCCCAAAAATGAAGATATGGCAGACTCCGTTAAAATCCGAGTCCCAATGTGGGCCTGCACTCCTCTAATACTGAAGTTTTGCTACAAATCGGCATTTCCGCCTTGATAAGCGTAATTTTTGTGCTACGGCAACATAGAGAGCCAATAAAAGTTAAATTAGTGCCGAAAAGACAATATTTTCAATCGATATATTTATCCCAAACAAACCGTGATCACATTTCCGTCAGAGCCGAGAATTTGAATGGGACAATCATCTGGTCGGGGTTCCCGCGATGAATGAGCGCTTTTCCGGGGCATTCTCTGAAGGAGAGTTTTTTAGAAATTTAAAGATTTAAAACCAGATAAGAGTTTCGTAATAGATTCAAAGAAAAGGTCCAACCGGGTTCATGCATTTGGCTATTGGCAAGAAAGAAAAAAGTGTAATTGTGCTTAAAATTTTGTTATTAATTGAAATTGTTATTAATCTACATAACTATAATACCTTAATACCTTTTATAGTAAAAGTCTCATGATTGTGGTGACGATGGTGGCTCAGAAATTTCTTGTATTCGGAGTCAATGATATGATGAAAATCCAACAAAACGTATTTTTGAGCTCTTGAGAATTTAGGCATACTAGCTAGGGCACGAAAAAGAATTTCGGAGAGGTTGAGAAATAGGAAAGCTTTGGAATGTTGACAATAATTGGTTTAGAAACAAATAAAGTAATATTGTAAGTTAAAGCTTAAACTGTGCAAGACCGTAGAGTTAAAGGACATACAGTACTGGAAAATGAAATATTCGAAAAACGATCGTCACTTTCGCGCGTCTGTAACATTTTAAAATCTGTTTGTTTTTTGGAATCTGAACTACAGCCATCCCCTCCTTACGTATACGTGAATCTTGCGTTTTTCAGCTTTCAATCGGCGGTCCCAATTGGTTAAGTAATCTTCAAAAATTGAACTTGTCATCCATGACTTTTGATTGGCCTGATATACAGTACTGGAAAATGAAATATCATATTTGAAAAAACACTTTCACACTTACTAGGCTCGAAATTCTTTTTATACTTTAGAAATTTTGTTCAAATCTTTACTGATTCTTTGATAGAAGTATGTGGCTTTCTCGGCTTTTTCTCGATCATTTTTCTTTTCCAGCAGAAAGATCGGACTCTCGGCCACGGGAATGACGACAAGAACGGAAAGAGCAGAAACAATCACCGCTACTCTAAAGAGATACAGTACTGGGACAATGAAATATCATATTTGAAAAACGATCGTCACTTTCTCGCGTCTGTAACTCCCTTGTCTTTGAGTTTAAACTATTAGTGTTATACATTTTCTGAAAGCTCTTTTCAAGGGCTACACAATGGTAATTTTAATATTTACAAATACGGTAAAGACAAGGGAGTTACAGACGGGCGAAAGTGCGAAAGCGTTTTTTCAAATATGATATTTCATTGTCCAGTAGTGTACCTACCACCTTGAGCCAACGGAAATATTTTTTAAATTAGACCTGAAGTTGATTTCTTTGTGTATATGTAAAGGTAATTTTCGTTTTTCTTATCAATGAATAGCTGAGAATTAGAAGAGCTGAATGGGTGAATAGAATGAGATTTCTAACAATTAGAAATGTTTTAAATAAAGCGTAGAACTAATCTTCTTTTCAGCTAAGAATTTTCATTTTTAGAAATCTTAATAGAAAACTTTCGAAGAGTTTTGCAAAAGGAAACCGATCGTAATCTTTCTTTAATTCATTCAAGTTATAGAATTACGGTCGCTTTCTAAGATCTTAGCCAATGAGAGTGCTAGTTTCACTTTGAAATTTGAATTTGAGAGTCGATTTGAAGGTCTATTTGAAAATTGCTCAAGTAATCCGTTTGTTAAAAAGTAGCTAATTAATAAAATGAACGAGTCTTTCCTTCAGTTTTTACTCATTCTATTTAAATTTTAAATCTCATTTGTATACTGCTTGACTTTAACAAATTCAATGCGAACGAAAAGTACAGTTATGAATATTTTGCAAGCGTTTTTATACGACTCACACCTTTTGTAGAGTTGAGCAAATTTGATGATTTTTGCATGAAAATGTTCGTAAGAGTCTCTAGAATAAAAGTTATCCTTTCGTTTTTGGTTCTAGACCCTCGTTGTCGAGTTACGAGCCCCAAACTGCAGGGTACCACAAAATTTCCCATACAAAATGACCAAAAAACCGCTAAACCTAAATTTAAAAGATTTCTGTTAGAGGGATTTGAAAAATTCCTTCAGATTCGGAATCAGCACAATTTTCCGCATCTAAAAAAGGTACTCCCAGAAAAATCCTATAGAAAACGCATTTTTGCCTTATTTCGCGCCGATGACCGTAATCTCTTTATCGTAATCTCTTTACCGTAAGCTCTTTACCGTAATCCCTATGGTTCCAATCTGGTTCCAATATGGTCCCATAAGTTCCAATATGGTTCCAAAATGGTTCTATATTTTTACAATATGGTTCCAATATGGTTCCAATATGGTTCCAATATGGTTCAGATACGGTTCAGATACGGTTCCAATATGGTTCCAATATGGTTCAGACACGGTTCCAATATGGTTCCAATATGGTTCTATACATGGTCTTCCGAGAACAAGCAATTCCAAAAAATCAAAAAAATTTCTTATAAAGAATTTTCCTTCTTTCTTTCAAAGAAATGTACAATTTGGGGGTACAATTTGGGGTAAAAAAAATGGGAATTGAATTTTTTCTTTGATTTCCCCTAAACGACACGAGGGATTTCCGTGTTTTTTCAAGCAAATCCCTAAGTCGATCAAAATTCTTTCACGAAGAAATCTCTCAATTTTTCTTTTCAAATGAATCACTTTTTTTCTTCTTCATTTGTCTCACCCACTTGACGTGCCTTTTTTGGCGGTTGGGTGGATGATCGGCGGAGGATGATCGGTGCACAGAGTTTGCCTATCAATTACGGGAAGCTCGTGAAATCGTGAAATCGTCAAATATAAGGGGGAAAAATTTAATAATCATAAAAAAAATTAAACCTTAAACCTTTAAGACTTTAGACTTTATTTTATTTTACTTTTATTTTACGTTTATTTTCCTTTCAAAACTTTCTTTTTCTCTCGATACTTTTGGTGCTAATCTGTTTTGTTTCTTTAGACAAATTTATAAGAATTATCTTAATAGAAAACTTTCGAAGAGTTTGCTAAAGATCGAGATTACGATAGGTTTTCTTTTAGAAAACTCTTCGAAAGTTTTCAAGCAGTATACAAATGAGATTTAAAATTTAAATAGAATGAGTAAAAGCTGAAGGAAAGACTCGTTCATTTTATTAATTAGCTACTTTTTCACAAACAGATTACTTGAGCAATTTTCAAATAGACTTTCAAATTCAAATTTCAAAGTGAAACTAGCACTCTCATTGGCTAAGATCTTAGAAAGCGACCGTAATTCTATAACTTGAATGAATTAAAGAAAGATTACGATAGGTTTTCTTTTACAAAACTCTTCGCAGAGTTTTCTATTAAGATTTCTAAAAATGAAAATTCTAAGCTGAAAAGAAGATTAGTTCTACGCTTTATTTAAAACATATCTAATTGTTAGAAATCTCATTCTATTCAGCCATTCAGCTCTTTTAATTCTCAGTTGATTCATTGATAAGTTTTCTATTGCGTTGGTGGAAAAGTCCTTTCCGATTTTTTTGGGAGAGTACCTTAAATTTGTCCAATTTTGTCCAATTTTGACGTTTTATAGCTCATCTCAAAGCTGAATTCAAGACGAATTTACTTTAGACTTTATAAAGATCGATACATCCAGAAATTCTTCCAGATCAACCTTTAATTACTTATCATCCCATATCTAATTGCAAAAAGCACAATCACTGAAATAATGAAAGTAGACAATGAAAGTTTGTTCGATAAAACTCCCTGTCTGTCAGAAGCCTTGGACTTGGACAAACTTGGACTTGAATCCTTGAATCTAGCAAACTCTAAGGCTTCGTTTGATAACTTTCATTAAACTAACTTAAGAAGAATTCAATTTCTCACTTTCCATTATCAAACGGTTTCCACCTTCTTTCTCATTCTCATTTTCCAACGCAAACATAACACAACTTTAAAAACTCAGGAAGAACTTTAACTCAGATACTCAGATACTCAGAAACTCAGAACACAACTTGTCAGAAAAAACTTTTAAAAAGTTGTAGACGTTTGCTTTGTCATCAGATGCTTTGTCACCAACATGAATGCTATCAAAAGCAAACCGGACTAGCTTTTGCTTAAAGTCGACTTTTTAGAAATGATTTGAGTTGATTTTAATGATGACTGTAAAATGATTGTTCATCTCGAAGAAGGAAAGAATGTTCCAAAAGTGTTCCCCTCTCAGAACAGAGCTATTTTTTCCCAGAATTCCCTCTTTTTAATTACTGATCTTTTGGCCAATTCTCAGAATCTTTTTCTCTTTCCTTTTCTCTCTTTCTTTCTCTCTTTCTTCCTCCCTTTCTTTCTCTCTTTCTTCTCTCTCTCTTTCTTTCTCTTCTTCTCTTCTTCTTCTCTTTCTTCTTCTTCTCTTTCTTATTCTCTTTTCCCCACACAAAATCAAGTTCAAATTGCAATGAGATGTGCTTTTGCAGAAGGAAAAGAAAAAAAAAACAAGAACTAAAATGTATTTTATGAATTGAATTGAAAAAATCACGTAACACAGGCCTCAATTCAAATGAATTCTTAAGAAGAATGAGTCATTTGTAGCCTAAATAAAATGACAAAATGAAGTTAAGTCTATTTTGTTAAGTCTATTAAGTCGATTTTGTTTAAATTCTCAGCTTTTCCTTTCAAATTTCAATCTTAAAATCTTGAGCCTAAAAGAAATTTTGCAAAAATTTCACTCAATTTTTGTAAAAGTTTTAAAATTTCTACACAAAATGGTATTTTTCATAGAAGTTTTTTTCTTATATTGTTTACCGTAACCCGCCGAGGGCTAGTTCGTGGTTAATCGTGTTTAACACGTTTACGACATTGTCACCTGATGCTGTCTGACACATATTCGTTCGCCTGGGACATTGTCACCAGGTGGAATTTTTTGTCGAAAAAAAACAACGTTGTCCCATGCGATTGTTTGTGCAAAAACGCCATTGTCGTCAACGTGTTAAAAGGAGAAATTTTTGAAATTTTCATACTGGACAATTTTCAATGGTGTAATTTAGTTTATAGCCCCACCACCCCCCCCCCATACACTACACTACACTACACTACCCTACACTACACTACACTACCCTACACTACCCTACACTACACTACCCTACCCTACCCTACCCTACCCTACCCTACACTA